TGGAATTCAACCCCCCCTCCCCATTGCACAGCAGCCCTGCATTTCCCTCCCCACAGCCTTGCCCAGGGTAGGCTGCTCTGAGCAGTGGCACCACAGCCCAAGCCCCTCTGGGCACAGCAGCAGCTGGAGCTCCGAGGGGACTCAACCCCAGCAGTGGGTGAACGTGCTTGGTTAAAAGGAAAGGAGGCTCCCGGTGTGCCCTGCTCTGCTCTGCAGGAGATCCTGTGAGCTCTGCAGCCCCTCTTTGACATCCCATCCCCTCAGGCCAGCAAAAATCCCTGGCCCTTGTTGTCCTCCAGAGCTCTTCCAGCTCCAGGCCCATCCCAAAGCTGGGCAGCCAGAAAGCTGTTCTCATTTCCTGATCAGTCCTGTTCTGCTCAGGAAAGGAATCTCAGACAAAAAGTTATTGCGGGTTCATTTATTTCGCTCACATCCAATATGAGACTCCCCAGTTAGACTAAGTCTCTGGGACACACAAGATGGGGGCTCCTGAAAAAGGAGGGAATGGAAACAGGACATTTTTTTTAAAAGAAAACATCAAAAGCTAGAAAATAAAAAATGTACATAAGACCTCATTGTTCATGGGAGTTCTGGCACACAGTGGGAGCATCATTCAGCAAACAATATTCTACAATTCAACATCACGAACTGTTCTGACCCAAATTCAAATCCCCTTGAGGTACACAGAGTATTTCCCCATCCCTCTGCATCATCCACCAAGTCCAAACAAGTCCTTCAGCAGAAACAATCCCAAGGGTGGCTTTGGCTTTGCTTAAACCAGGACTAATCCAAACTGTCCTCCCCAACATATTCCTCATATGGACCACAGGGATTTTATCCCCTTCAATGATACGTAGAGATTCTTTTTGGGCAGGGCCAGTTCAACTGGTAGAGTTAACTAACAAGGTTTTTGTGATGCCTTAAAGCTTTTTGGATGTTTTTTTAGCTTTTTGTAGACTTTAAAAGTAGTTGTGTAGTGAATGTAGATGTCAATGTAGCTGTATTATAGGCCACTCCTTAGCATACTAGTTTACACAGACCCAACCCAATTACCCCATTTTATATCAAACTTTCTAAATTCCTTTAGCGTGTTTAGACTTCTTTTCAAGGTAGAATTGTAGAAAAACACCTCTATTGAACAACATCACACCCTAGACCTGGACAACAAGATCCCACAAGAGACAAAGCAACCTTCAAGCCCAGAACTTTGGAGGCGCTCCAAGGACTGTCCGTGCTGTGAAGAAGATAAACATGAGGAAGAAGGGGTCCCAAAGACCCCAAACCCAGTTCCCTAAGTGGGGTTTCAGGGGGCAGAACTGGGTAGAACCAGGGGGTGGAGAGTTCTGGCATTGGACAGACCATCTTCTAAAACTGTAGAACCATTGCCTGGGAGGGCATGCGTCGTGGGTGTTCCCCTGGGCCTGTGGGCCTGATTAAAGGACTTGCTCTTTTTAACTGATCTTGGACACTGAATTGGTCTGGAGTTTTATCTCTTGAGCTTACAGGATTAACTAACTGGGTGGTCTTTGCTAAATGCACATCCCAAGGTTTGAAGGTCCCACTGTCCATTGCTTTCAAGGTGGTTTTCAACAGTCCACTCTACCATTCAACTTTCCCAGAAGCTAGTGCCTGACAAGGAATATGATCCATCCACTCCATGCTGAGCACTCTGGTCCAGGTGTTTTTGAAAAGAGTCCTGTTGTCCAACTCCAGTTTTTCTGGAGTGCCGTGGCTCCTTGATTCCATGAGGTTGCACTGTTTCCCAGCGTTCTTGGGCTGCATAAGGCCCTCCGGTGTTACAATGGCCCACTGATTCCATTGTTTTCCCCCGTGTCACAATGGACCCTTGATTCCATGAGGTTCCCCAGTGTCACAATGGTCCCTTTGACTCCAGAAGGCCTTGCAGAATCATAATGGCCCCTTGATTCTGTGAGGTTCCACAAAGTCACACTGGACCCTTGATTCCATGAGTTCCACAGTGTCCCGTTGGTTCTCTTTGATTCTCAAAGGTTCTGTGATGTCACACTGGCCCCTTGATTCCCTGACAAAGTCCTGGGGTCCTTTTGATTCCATGAGGTTCCGCAGTGTCCCATGTTCCCTTTGGATCCAGGAGGCCCCAGTGTATTACAATGGTCCCTGGATTCCAGGAGATTCCACAGTGTCCTGGGGTTCCCTTGTCTCCCTGACTTTTGGCAGTGTCCCATGCTCCCTTTGTTCCCATGAGGTTCCTTTGTTTCCACCCTGCCACGTCCCAGACTCCCTTTGGTTCCATGAGGTGCTGCAGGGTCACAATGCCCCTTTATTCCATGAATTCTGCCATGTCCCAGGGTTCCTTTCGTTCCATGGTGTTCCACAGTGCCAAAACTCCCTGCTTCTTATCCTCCCAAAATTTGTGGGCCCATTCTATCCCTGCCTGGGGTGGAGTACCATTGTGTTTCTGCAGGAATGGATCAATGGCCATCCTGCCACTGCGCCAATTGAATGCTGCACAAACGTCACTGCAGGCCTGACACTGGATGAAGGAACAGTCTGGGAACTCCAGGTCTGCTCACATTCAGCAGAGCATCCCAGGGTGCTGACCCTTTTGCATCCCAAGTTGCTGTGTAAATAATTTCATTTCATCAAAAAATATACATTTTTTGTGACATCTACTTTAAAATCTTCCTGCTTAGCTAAACTACAAAACAACTCTAATTAGCTGTAGAAGCCTGGAAGGCACGATGACAATTAAAGGAAGGGAAATAATCTGGGTTTAGATGTTTCAATGGTCCCCACGGTGTGTTTGGAGCTGCATCCATCATCCTGAAGTACTGAGAGGAGACTGAAGAAGTTGCTCAAGAAGTCAGAAGCCAAACTCCAAGTCTCTTGAAGCGTCAATGGGCCCCACTGAAGGCAGGTACTGACAAAGCCTCCCCAGGGACTCCTTAGAGCAGCTCCTTGGAGATCAGGAGTGCAGGCAGACAAAGGCTCTGGGCAGGTCCCTGCAATGCTGAGCAAAGCCTGCCTTGGTTTTGTGGAGCACAAAGGCCAAGGCCTGAGCCCCAGGCCCTGGCCCAGTAGATCCTGTCCCTCCCAGCTGGCTCAGGGCTGTTTGGGGGGCACTGGGATGGGAGGGGGAGGAACAACAAAGGCCAAAACAGGGCAACCCCTGCCAGGCTCCTGAAGGAGGGGCGAGGCAGAACCCAAGGGCAGAACCTGCCAGGAAAGTGGCTTGTGGTGGCCTGAGTGGCAGAGGCAGCTGCCAGAGGCAAGGGGACAAAGGCCTGGGTGCCTTTGGGCCTTGCAGCCCTGCCAGAGCCCTTGGCCATCTCTCCTGCAGGCTGTCCTGCCCTGGCCCTGCTGCTGCTCTGGCCTTGCAGGCTGCACACACCCCTCCTGCTTTCCCACCCCCTCCCAGCAGCATTTCTAGACCCTCCCTGATGGCTCTGCACCAGCTCTGGCTGTTCCCTGGAACACAAAGCCATGGGATGATCCAGATACTCTCTTGCTGACCTCTTACATCACAAGGCTCCCTATTGTGTGTGTCATAGGTTTACTTGTTCTAAAAAACCAAGGGGGAATTATTTTTTCCCCTGCATTGTTGTAAAAGAAAGATGTTGAAGGATGGAGGAGGAAGGTGTTTGCCTATGGTGATTGACATACACAAAGGAAATAGTTAGCAGACTCACATTCCAGACTGATAGCCCTGAGAAGATGGGGGGGAAGGAGGAAGTGAGGAGTGGTTTTTTTTTTTTCTCTCTCCTTGGGAAATGACACTTCACTTTTGCCCTGACTGTAGGGAGGGTATGAGTTGGAGGGGTCCGAGGTTCACTTTGTTCTCAGTCTGGTCATCTGACTGTTTCTGGCCCCGGTTTGCCTTTGCTTTCCTGCACCCTGTTCTGCCCCCAGCCCAGACCTGCTTGGATTTCATCAGAGAGGTTTGACCCACCTGCAGAGGAACCCTTTGGGGAGGAGGTCGCCCGCTCCCTCCTCCATTACCGTGTTGGCAGCAGAGTGTGTCCATCGATGAAAGACGGGAAATCCTGGCCATAGCCAGCTGCAGACAGCGTGAGTTTTGTGGGAAGAGCCCCCTTTTTCCCCTTTTCCCCTTCTCTGTGTGTGAAAATCTCCATTTTCAGCTTGTCCCTCACAGAGTGGGCCCAACAGCGCCCCCTGCCGGCCACCACAGAGCACTGCAGGCTGTGCCCCTCCAGTGCTTCAACAGCGCCCCCTGCTGGCCGTGGTTAGAATGGCGCCAAAAGGCAGAAAATGCCAAACTGTTTCCTTTTGGAAGGGCATTTTTGGGTACAGGATTATTCTGTGGTTGTTTTCTTTTTGTGTTCTTTTGTTGTTCTGCTAATAAAGGGCTTTTATTAAAGGCTTTTATAAGAGCCCTTTAATAAAGGGCTGTTATTTTTTTTCTTTCTCCGTACTTCCTCAATTGGAGCCTCTTAATTTTGGTTTTACAATTGCTTAGAGAAAGGAGTTTGGTCTTCCTCATAACTCATCATCCTTGGCAAAATACTTCAGTCTCGTTAAATCAAGACAGTTGGGAAGTACCTTGGTAACAGAGCAAGGGACAGTGAAGGCTGAACCTTCCATTCCCAAGGAAATCTGGATTGTAATAATTACTGAGGCAATGGTAGTGCTCCCCTTGGGCTACGGTTCAGGTACAGAATGCTCCAAGGCTGTCAGGGGATAACTGATCATTGCCACTCTTGTCCTTCATCCCAGCCTTTAGCCAAGCAACTGGAGCTCCTGGTACAGTCAGTGCTGCTCTCACATTAGTCGTGCAGAATTCCTGGTGTGACCAAGGGACACTTCACCACCCCACACAAAGGCCAAGGAATGGGAATTCCTAAGAGAGCAGAGCGGCCTGCGGAGGAATGGGGGTGATGTCTGATCACACCTGCTTTCCTGGAGATGGCTGAGCCCCAGCTCCAACCAAGCACCACACAGACACCTGCTCACTCCCCTCCCGTGGAGGTGGGAGAGAACTGGAAGAGTAACAGTGAGAAAACTCGTGGGTTGAGACACAGTTTATTAGGTAGTAAACAGATGAAGTAGAGATAGGTATTGGGGCTTGAAGAGTAGCTGGGGAGGTCTCTGCTGAAGGCCGGGAAACCATGAGCAGGAGAAGCCGTGACACAAATGGTGTCACTCTAATTTTGTGACCGCTGCACCTTCTTCTTGGGTTTGCTGCTCAGAGTTTTACCTTTTTGCGGTGACGTAGAGCGTTTCAGATCAGCCTTCACCAAACAGCCTTTCCCCATCACAAACACCCGTGGGTTCTTCTGAGATGGCTTCAGGTTAGGAAGTCTAGGAAGAAAGGGACATTTCCAGACAGTCAGCTGCTCGCCTGTCTCTTCAAAGAGCACACAGTGTCACATCCTCTCTCCATGCAAGCAGCGAGCAGCAAATGAAACAGAACTGCATTCCCTGCCATGGAGGCAGCAGAGGTGGAAGGGCAGAATCACAACCAGTTATGGGCCTGGGGACCAACCGTAGCACACGGGGTTCCAGGTAGGGAAGGAGGCTGTGCTTGTCCCATAAGGAAGCATAGCTAGGGACTGGCTGGCCCCTTGACAGCCGTTCTGGATCTCCCATTCCAGATTTTGCAGCCCTCCAGGAGCTTAGTGTTTCTCATTGTCTCCACACAGATCCATAGACATCTCCACAGACATCTGGCCTCTTATTGTGCTCCTGTATGCTGTGTGTTCCTGCTGCCTCTCTGGGGCTGGCTGTCCCCAGGGCTGCACACTCACCCATCCCAGTCAGAGGGACTGAAGGGAGGGTGTCAGAGGATGGACCAGGCTCTGCTTGGTGCTGCCTACCAACAGGACAAGAGGCAATGGGCAGAACCTGATGCACAACATGTTCCACCTGAACATGGGGAAGAACTTCTTTCCTGTGCAGGTGACAGGTTGTTCAGAGAGGGTGTGGAGTCTCCCTCACTGGAGGTATTCCAGAACCCTCTGGACACAATCCTGTGCCATGTGCTCTGGGATGACCCTGTTTGAGCAGGGAGGGTGCACCAGATGGTCCAACCTGTGATACCCACCAGGAGCATGGAATGGAAAGCATGTGGACATTTCCTACCTGCAGAGCATTTCGGCCTTAAATTTCCCCACATGCGTCGGGCAGAATTTCACATGGAAAACCTGATTCTGGCCAGCAGGGATGGTACCGCAGTGGGGCTCGATGGAGAACAGCGGTGGGTCCTTGACGGGAATTGGAGAAAATTCCAGGGAGGAGCTAAGGTCCTTCAGAGAGTGGCACACCTGCTTTGAAAGGCGCAGACTTGGCTGGGGCTGAGTTGACTGGGGCTGAGCTGACTGGGGCTGAGTTGACTCGAGTGGTGATGCCCCGTGCATCTGCCTTGTACAATGCCCGTCCCAGTGATCCACAGCAGCAGAGGACAAGAAATAACCTGGAAGAGGGAAAAGGACATCTTTCAAAGACAAAATCCTTTGTTCCCAACAACTCTGCTTCCTGCTGCAGGTGGATAGAAGAGAGCTGAGATGCACTTGGAGCACCTCTGGCCAAGTACTTTCAACAGGAGATAGAGCGGCTGGGAGCAGGGTCTCTGCCTGCAGCACACAGTCCTGTGCTGGGGCAGGAGGCTTGGTTTTAGACAGTGACTTTGCATTTGCCCTGGAGCAGGGAACTGCATACAGGCAGCGGCTGCAGGGCAGCTCACTTGTTCCACCCTTGTTTTTCCCAGTCTCCGAAAGAGAGAGAGGTGCCCTGATGTCCCCCCTCCCAGTCCTGACCCAGCACGTGGCTGTCCCTGGAGCCCGGCTCAACTCCTGTGCAGAGCACAAGTGGCAGAGCAAGAACAGGAGAGGCAAAAAGGCAGAGAGAGGGTAAGGAGAAAACTCTCCAGCTGCAGCTGGGAAGTGGACAGGGATGAAAAAGCAATTAATGTTTTGGGGTGAAGTGGCAGGGTCTTCTCCCCAGGCCCTCAGCTACCAACTGAAATGGCCTGAGAACCACCCAGAGCTAATAACTTGCGTGTCAGAGTGGACGAGAATGGCTTCCCAGAACTCTTTGATGGTATTTCCTCCTCCAGATTCCCCTCCCAGCAGTATTTCAGGGCTACATTCCCTGTATTGGACATCTGGAAACTGAAAAACAAGGAGGAAAAATAAAAAGCATGTAATAAAGTAACACTGTATGGTGGGCTCCTGGTACCACCTTCCACTAAGGAACATCTTCCCCAGGCAACTCTGCCACATTCCGAATTGCTGCCCTGGGTGGCCCAAACAAAGTATTTCAAAGTCTGGAAGTTTAGGAGGAAAGGGCCAACACAGTGCCCAGCACTCACGTGCTTATCTCTGTCTGGAAGAGCTCAGTCTGCTTCAGTTGAATCTCGACCATATCCAGTTTGAACTCGGCGTAGTCAACCTGAGCACTGAGGAAAAGCTCGACCTCGTGGCTGCTCTTCAGGACGGTGTGAGGTGGTTCCAGGAGTGCCTTGACCACCTGCAGTCAGAGGAGGGAAGAATCACTGAGCAGAGCCTAGAAAGCCAGGCTGAGCAGGGAAATCTTTTGGCCTCCAAACTTGGCCACATAGAAAGGTGATATGGTTTGATGCTGGCTCCCTGCCAAATCTCCAAACCTTACTGTAAGAAGTCCCCCCCCTCTCCCAAACCTCAGGGAGAAGAGGGAGAAAAACAACAAAGAAAATCCGAAACGAGAGAGAGACAGCTAAAATAATATATATAAATATATTTACACTTATGTTACAGTTGAAATATATATACAATTTCACAAGGGAAAGGGAAGGGGGAAGGGAAAAGGAACAAAACCAAAATAAAATATATATATATCCCAATCAGTAGCCTGAGATCTAGCAACTAAAAAAGTTACAAAAGAAATATCTCACTACTCTCCTTGGGACAACCGAGGGTCGCTCTGGAATGATCGCTGGCAACCTCTGTCTCCCAAGGTCGACAAGGCCTTACCAGGCCTCGCTCCCCAACCCGACAGACTCAACAGCAGGGAACCTGCACCTCTAAGCTGCCAGAAGGAAAGAGAGAGCGAAGGTCTCTCCTCCTTTTTTATTATAGCCCGGCTTACGTAAAAATAGTAGGGAATACTGGGTAAATCTGGACCCTTCCTTGGTTACAAACTGGTCACCAAGGAAGGCCTAGACCAAACTACCACAAAAGGACATTTAGGTTTATTTCTCTGGAAAGATGACAAAATTGGACTGTTGTACTACAGTATTGGTTTCTACCCACTGATCAAAGCAGTCACCACCACAGCTATTAATACACCCCTGGGGATTATGGCCAGCTGTCAGTCCCTGTGCTTCAACCCTGTAGAGCCTCTGACCTTTTCCCTGGCCCCGTATAAATCTAGCACATCTCAAGATTAGGATTAAGTTCCCCTGCTGGAACCCTGTGGATGGAGAAGCCCAAGACTGACTAGTCCTAGAAAGAATTTTTCCTTCTTGTCTTAGGAGAAAGTGCTCTCCAGATGGCACATGTGGGGTGGGGGTTGGCTGTGGGCATTTTGGGATGTGAATGATCTCAATGCGAAAGTCTCCAACTGCTGATGCCCTGATGGGGAAGTTGGGTTTAAAGGACTCACAGTGGATCAGAAACTCAGAAAGAACCTTCACCAAGATAGGTGTGTTTGGCAATAATGACAGAAAAAGCAAGACTTTCTGGAGATGATGCTTCTCCAGGCTCCTGCATACTGTCACACAGTGCCTGGGCTGCTCCAGAATGAGATATCCCCACAATACAGAGGTCACATCCAAAATCTCTGGTGTCAGTGTAGGCAGAGCTCGGAGCTCACCGGTGTAACGCACAAGAGCACTTGTGCTGCTCTCCCCTTCAGAACAAGAGAGAATGCAGTGGAATTAACTCCTTGTGGGTGACAAGGTACCAAATCAGATGAAGAGATTTTAACACTGTCAAATGGGATAAAATCAAACGTGACCTCCCATTCAACAAGGGCTGCAACACTGGGCTCGTGGCACAGACCGGCAGTTTGCGGGTGGATAAAGGTCTCTTGCCCAAAGGCTTCCCCCTGTGGTGTGAGCGCACCCGCTCACTGCGCATCTGCCTCTCCCTAAAAGGCACTGCTGGTGAACCTCCGGCTGGAGCCAATGCCCAGGGGAGGCAGGAGCTGCTCTGCCAGCAGCGCTGGTGCTCTGCTGTTGTTGGCAGGTCCTTTTGCAGCAGCTCGGTTAGCTTTTGTTGCTGTGCTTCTTACCTTCTGCTTCAAAGGCCAGCGGGCTCCTGGGACTCTCTCGGTGTTATCCTCCCACTTCTCAGTGCACATTTCGTTGTCCCAGTCATAAACCTCCTCTGGTGGTAGCTGGTATTTGATCTTGGCCACCTTACACTTAACAGAGTGCCTTTTGAAGGTGACCGGGACGTTAGATTTCAAGGTCACTCTGATATCCTTGGCACAGCCAGGTTGGAGGTGTCCCACCTAGGGAGAACCAGAGAGTCAAGACCAAACTGGAATCACTGGCAAGGGCAACACTGACAGCAAAAGGGACTGATACGGTGAGCAGCTGTGCTGGGAATCAGTAGCTCAGTGAGGATTTATGTGATATTTGATAAAGCAAAGTATGAACAGAAGGTGCCACCTCCCAGAACGTGGAGCCTTTTCTGCTGGTCTGACAGCCTTGCCCCAGCAAAGACAGGGACTGCATCTCCTGCATGGCACTGGAATGGGCTCTCACTGGTATGTGGTGATTCCCTGCCAGCTCTCAGGAACACCAGGAAAGGGCATGAGCAACTGAGAAAGGCAGGGCTGTCCCAGCTCACCTTGGGGGAGAACTGGAATGGGGTGTCTGCCAGCAGCCACTCAAACCGCATCACCTCCTCCTTGCTGCGGTTGGTGACTGTGAAAGTCTTGTTGCAGAGCCTCCTGACTGCACACTCCCCAAACTCTATGTGATTCGCTCTGATAGCTGTGAAGAAGGAGAGCAAGAGATCTCAACATGCAGTGAGGTCCATCCGCCCCTCTCACTTTCAGAGACAAATGTATGTTCAGCTCTTCCTTGCTTCAAGCCTCGCTCCCTCTGGGAGGTCCCCAAGCCCGTGGCTGTGCCTGTGCCCAGCGACAAGCAGCAGAGCACTCACTGCTCTGTGTGCACGGCTGGCAAGCTCACAGGCCCCCAAGTCCAGTGGGTGACAGCCAGCCCTAGCTAGAGAGAGGACACACATGATCAGACATTTTCCTCTTCCTCGCTCTACCTTGGCAGCCTCTCCTCTCTTACCCTCAATGATGTTGTCCTCCAGATTGCCCTTAGTATTGCTCTCCTTGCTGTCTTCTGCTAGTCCATGGAGGTTATCAAGGGTGAAGTCATCATCGTAGCCTTCACCCACCAGCTCTATGTTGATCTCACTGTTGCCTGACAGTGCCACATGGATCTTCCCTTCCAGACGTTGGGCCAGGGTGGGTTTGAAAAACACGTCAAACTCTGCTGATTGGCTGTGTTCCAGGAGCAGGTAAGGCTTCTTGGGATGCTTCCTGGCTGCACAGCAATGGGAATCAGAGTTAAGTGATACAGCTGTACAGAGGAAATATTTCCCTGGAGTATACGAGGAATAAGAGGTTGGAATCAGTTGCTTCTAAGTACAGGTTCTCCCACCAGTGGTTCCAGACCCTCTTCCTGTGTTCAAAAGACTATGCCACCATCACACATATCACCACTTAAACGGCTTAACCTCAGGTTAATGCCCAGCCCTCATTCCATCTGCTTCCAGCCAGCTCCCGCCATACAGAAGGCTGAGCCAAGGAGTGGTTTTGGCTTCTGCTGGCTGGTTTGTGCACTCAAGGGCTGCCCCTGTTCAGGTTGGCACCTTCCCACACGTAGCAAAGACCTCAGCCAGTCCACTGAGGTGGTGATAGTCCCCCACAACTCAACCCACCGTGTCTCGAAGAACAGAAAAACTTCCTACAACTTGCTAGGAGGAAATCCTGCAAGGAGTCCACAAGAAAAGCTCGAGGGACAGAAAGACCAAGGAAAGAAGCTATGTCTAACATGTGGCTGCTGCTTAGACAAGCCAAGAGCAGGGCACACCTTTTCCCTCTGTGAATGATCACGTTGCATGGTTAATGAATATACCTTTTCCAGTGGAGTTCTCTTCCATGTCTGCAGTGTGGAAGGCATGGAGTGCGGACTGCCTTCCTTTCAGGAAGAAAACTCCCTGTTCATCCATGACTTGTACTGTAAACTGAGAAAAGGGAACACAGAGCACAATGACATTGGTGTGAGTAGAGGCTGGCACGTGGGTTGAGCCTGTACGGCTTCTGGTCCAGCATGGGGAGTTCAGACCACCTCCCCACCTCAAACACAGCAGCCAGCACAAAGGTTATGTGAAGTCACACAGAGAAAAAAGAGTGTTCAGAAGCATATGGATAGAACTGACATAGAGCCAAACAGGACAGTCAGTCACGAGCAGAATGTAATGAAACCACAAATAAGTTTAATTAAAATGGAGTCAACCAGTATCAAATGCAATCTCATGGAACTGGGACATCACACACACCCACATGAGAACAAAATGTGAGCTGGGAGACGGGGGGAAAAACACCCCACCACCTTTCTTGTCTTGTGTTCAACTGATGAGGAAAGACTGGACAGAAAATCACATTTTTTGGGGCCTTTCCTCCACAGGACAAGCGCTTGTTCCCAGCCCAGAGCATTCCCTGAGCAGGTCCTTACCTGAGTGGGTATGATGCCATTGTTACGAAGGACCAGGGGAAGTTTCTGTGAATCCCCCAGTAGGAGCCTCCTGAAGCACAGCACAGGGTTTCCCCTCTTACTCCGAAGGCCCGGACACTCTACTGTCACCTGAGGCACGTGCCCCTCTCCACTGATAGTGAAGGTCAGTTGTTGGGGTTTCATCTTCATGGAGCTGCTGGAGAGGCACAGAAACCATTTCAGCCAGAGCCTTCCAGAATAACAGTTCTAAATAATTTCCCTGATTTGAATCATGCTGTACAGCAGATAAATAATGAGGCACCAGATGAGACATGGCAAATCCTCTGGCTGCAGTGATAGGAGACATATGCAACAAGCAAAAGCACACCATGAGAACAGTACGAAAGCAAGAAGGGAAAACCAAATCAACACCACCGTAAGATTATTTCCAAGGATCCTAAAAAAGGAATTGCTTGTTAGGGCAGAAAGCTGATTTCCCTGTTCCAATTCAGCCACTAAAGGCTTGGGGAAGGGCAGGTCAGAGCCCCAGTACACAGGTCCCAGGGAGAAGAACCAGGCTTCTCTTTGATAAGAGCTCCAGTCACTCTCCTGATATAAAAATAGCTTAATACATGCCAGGGAACCACACAGGATCACTTCCTTTTACAGAAATAGGGAGGAAATCTTGACTTGCTGGCACAGAAACTGCTTCATCTAAGCCTTCGTCCTTGGAAAGTCCCAGCTCAGCTGTTGCACTTCTCAGTAACTTCCAGCTGGCTACCTAAGGCCCTCTCTTCAGTCCCTCACACAGGCTGAAGTATTCTCCTCATTTTTCTGCTCTGCTCTGCCTAACAGTTACTGCCTCCCAGATCATCTCATGTCAAGTACTCTGCCTAAGGGTACTGAAAGCATTAGAGGTACCAAGAGGAGAGGCAGTTACCAGAACGGTCCCCCCAATACTTCACAGGGTCACTACCTTTTTGGGATAACAAGAGAAGCTGTGAAAGTGCACTGGTAGTCCTCCTTTTGTTCTGGAGTGAAGGTCACTGTAGCAAAGGTGTGGGATAAGCCAGGAATGCTCATCTCAACAGGATCCAGCTTGAAGATGTTGCTGATGAGGCTGTGAGGCTTGGGGGGAACCCACAGTGCGGTGTTAGGAGGATACATCTTTCAATGTGACCAAGTATATCCTTAACAGCCCCTCTCTGAATGTGCTTTCGAGAGATGTTCAGAAGGATTCCCACCAAAGACCCAGAAGCATGAGCCAAAATTTGCTTGAGAGATGTGGAATTCAATGCAAGTGCCCCCCTGGCATTGCTGTTCTGCCCTGCAGTTTGACCTGCACTGAGCTGGACTGGTCCAGCTGGGCCAGAGACCGCAATGACTCTGGAGAACAAGGCAGGCTCTCACATGGCCTTTAGAGAGCAGCGCTCACCTTGGCCTCTTGTTCTTACCTCTCCAGGAATGGCTTTGATGGAGAGGACCACGTCACATGGGACACTGCTGCCATTAGAGATCTTGAAGCGAGCCGTGGCCCGTTGCCCAACCTGAACTTTAGTGAAGATGAATTTGTTATCATCTCTGATGAACACACCGTTGCCTTGCACCGACTGTAACGTCTGGCGGAGATTGACGTTGCTGTGGATCGGGTACTGCTCAAAGATGGACGTGACGTCTTCAACAAGCGCTGCAGACAGACCAGAGGAAGGGCTGAGGCTGGAGAACCTCTTTGCTGAATTTACCTGGACCCAGTTGGCCTCTCAGAAGGCTTGATAAGCCCTTTCTGTCCAGGTGACAGCAAAACCCAGCCTTGAATGAGAGAGCTCAGTCAGTGAGGATGGAGCTCAGTCAACCTCAGTCTTAAAGGGCACTGCTTTCCTTTTATGCTTCCACACATCCCTCCCAGCCTCTCCCCACTGGTGGACTTGAAAAGGACTGCAGCTTCTGAGGATTTTAAGGTGGAACTTCAGGACCAGGGTGCCTCTCTATCCAAGTAGCAAGTTTAGGTGCTGATCATCAGCAGGACTGCCCACGGCAACCTGTGGACAGCACGTACCTGGGAAGCAGGACTTGGCAGTCAGGGTAAAGGGAATGCCGAGGGGATTGTCCTTGGGGTCTCTGCTGCTGATGTCGATGTACAGCTGCTCCTCACATTTCCCCTCTGCTCCTGCGTTGCAATCCACTGTGATCTTCTGCTGGCCCCCAGGACCGACGGAGCCGGAGCAAGGGGACACCGTGAACACGCCTGCAGTGAGCTGAGCCTGCAGAAAGAGCGCCAGGACAGGTTGATGCCTAACAGCCGTGCCCTGAACACCCCCAGCAAGGAGGATGCCACACCTCGGCCTCCAGCTGAGCCCAAGCACCCAGTGGCAGGGAAGGATGACTCCATGGCCCAAAGGCAGCCCCAGGATGAGATGAACAAACCAGGAGGAGCTGCACGTCTGTCCCGAGTGGCAGAGGGAAAGGAGTTTGGGTGAAAAGAATGAAGGTGGTAGCTGAGATCCTTCAACCTCCAGGGGTACAGGAGAGCAGAAAGGACTGAGAGAAATGATGGGAGAGAGGGAGGGGATTGGAAAGAAAAAAAAGCAAAGTTGTCAATGTTCTATGGATTGGGAGTTCAGATGGGGAGAGTTTGCTCCTGTGGTGTTCACAGATCTGTGCTGACTAGCAGCCACCAAACACAGGACCTGCTCCCCTCTCTTGACCCCACAACTGCAGGTCAGAGCCAGAACATGGGACTATCAGTGGAACTGAGCAGATAATGGACTCTCCATCCCACAGACCATGTCCTACCCCCAGACTGGGCACAGCTGCATCCTCCCACATCCCCTGCAGCAGCACATATTGGGGAGGAGCAGGAGCCACCCACCTGCGTCGAGCGCTTTCTTTCCCTGACCGAGGGGGTAGATTCCTCTTGCTGTGAACTGAGAGGAGAAAGCAGAGACATCTGTCATGCTGAGTTCCCCTGCCTTTGTCTGAGGCCAAAGCTGGCCTTCCTCCCCATGGAGGAAAGCCTTCCTGCTCCCGATGGCCCCCGCAGAGCTGCCTGCAACACCCATTGCTGCAGCTTATGGACAGAACAGCTCTGTCACCAGCTTTGTCCCACACATGGGGATACTGAGGTGTTGTTTTGCTCCTTCTTCCTAAGCCAGTGATCCAAATGGACAATAACCCACGTCTGGCTGCCTGTCACACACCAGCTGTGTGGTGGTGCCTCCTCAGATAGAAAGGCTGGTGCAGGTCTTCTCTTACCTTTGCAGTGGAGGTGCTTGGTGGATGAGGAATTTGAAGTTGAGGGTGCCTTTGTTCTCCACAATTAAGACCTGGGTCTTCTTGGTGCCCTTAATCATGGCACCGAAGTCGATGGGCGAGGCAGGCTCGATGCTGTACTTGCTGTACACAGCTCTCGCCGACACCCTCACTGGGATGGTGGCAACGGTCTCGCCTCCTTGACCTAATTCGGGATCAGTGACCTGCAACCAGAGGAGGGGCTGGTAAACACAGGAGAGAGGCCAGCCTCTACCCCTGTCCCCTGACCCCACCCCAGATCTCCCTCAGCTCACCCTCTCTTTTTAAAGGCCTCTTCCAGAGCCAGATTTCCAGCTCTTTTACAAAACCTCCCAAATGGTTTTGGAAGTCTTTGTTTGTGTATGTAGGAGAGAGGATGCCCTAACTAAAGCCTTCTTTGTCAAAGACACCTCTCCTGCTTATGCTCCCAAGACACACTGTGCTAACACAGCTGGGTCCAGGCAGCTCACCTGGCAGAGCAGGATGGGTTTGCTCTTGAGAAACACTTCAGTCGTGGGGTGGAAGAGGACCTCAACTTTCATAGGTGACCGGGAGGCTTTCAGCACAGCCCTCTGCGGCTGGACAGTGAAGGGAGATTCCAAGTCGCCCCTCTTGGCACTTCCAGTGGTCAGTTTGAAACTGTGGAGAAAGGGAAAGAATGAAGACCTCTGCAGTTGAAAGTACAGGTGCCACCAGCACAGCCAGCACTTTGCGTAGGACCAGAAAAAAAAAGAAAAGGGAGCAGCACGGGAACAGGTTCTAGCCATGGACAGAGGGAGAACGCAGGCCTGGGAGCCTGAGGAAAAGCTCAGCACCAGGCAACTGGACTCACCTGTACTCAATGTCATGTAAGCCTTTGTTCTGCAGACTCAGGACTTGCTTCTTATTATCCAGGACATTAATGGTTCCAAATTCCAAGCTGCCATCTGGACCTGTAGAAAACCCACAGAGGGAGGTAAGAAATGGTGAATATTTGTGAGCTGCTGCAGAGCACACCAACTCACAAGCTACATAGTTGGAGTTCTTGGATGTCCCTTCTCAGAAGTGTTCTCTAGCTACTTGGCTGCCTTTTCTCTTCTTACTCCAAGAATCTGCAGGGTAGAAGCCAAGGAACTTGGTTTCCATTTTCTTGCTTCCAAGCACAAATCCAGCTACTTTATGTGCTGTTCTGAGCCAACTGCCTGTACAGATGGCTGTTGTTTCAAAGCACCAAATGCAATCTGCACATGAAGCTGCACATTTCAAAGTTCAGAAGGGAGAGACTCAAGTCTGTTGGTGCCCTGACAGTGCTTTACTTCACACAGCTTGCAAGGTATGTGCTTTACATATCTGTGCCACCCTTGCCTGCCACGCCATCCCTTCCCAAGTTCTTTGGTTGGCCACCTGCCAAGGTAGTAAAATGCACCCGGACTGTGTTGTCTGGGAGGCATCCACTGACCTTCAGGCATGTCGATGCTCAGATTAACATCGTAGACCTCCACAGAGACTTTGATAATTTCAGTGTGAACAATGCCCAGGATGTTTTCTGTATCTGAAACCTGAGGCAGCAAGAAACAAACACTGCTTAGACCATTCTTTTGGAAGACAGCCTCTAAGTCCTTGTCTCTGCCAGCTGCTTCCCCCATGGCCTCCATGGCTTGACAAGTGTTTCTGGACTCTCAAGCTTTCCTAACCTGTCCATCTCACCGGCTGCCCCGGCGGGATTCTGCTGCAGTAAGAAATCTTATCAGTCCAATTCTGCACTCCCACAGCAGGGAATGGTGCTGCTAAAGCACCCTTGAGAGGACCAGGGATGTAAAAACAACCACAAGAAATGTGAGGTGTCCCAGAGCAGGTGGCATTGACAATTAATGCCCTCCTCTTCAATCACCTCGCATCCTTACTGAAATGCAGCCTCTAAACCACAGGGAAAAAAATCCCAGAAAGGGTCCAGAGAGAATGCTGGTCTGTACAACCAAACAACAACCTTCAAGCATGCACAGCAGCAAGGTGGCTGTGGTACAGGCTCTGGATGCAGAGCCTGGGCACCCGGCCAACCCAGCGCAAAGGCAGAAGTTGGGGCCACAGCTGCCCTGTGTCTGTCAGGTGCAGCTCTTCCTGACTCTATCCCTAAGAGCACATGGCTGCTTGCTCTGCCCTGCTCTGCCAGGAAGGCTCAAGTCCCTCTCACCTCCAGTCGGATCATCTTATTCGTGATGCCAATCTTCTCGGCCTTGAAATTCAGCTTCACCTCGAAGTCTCTGCGGGGGCCAACGATGCCCCTGCCTTGTGATGCAGAGAACTCATCTCCAAGGTCGTCCAGCCCACTGAGATGCCATGCCATGGGCAGTGGGCTGTCGTTTTTCAGGACCAGGGTCTGGGTGTGAGTCCTGCAGAGACAGGAAGACACTCAGCATCAGTGCTCAGGTGTCACACCAGCCTGGCCATTGAATGCAGCTCGAAGCAGCTCCATCTGAGCCTCTGGAACCAGAGTCAAAACTCTTCTCTTTGTCACGAGCCTTGGAGTGCCCTCAGCCATGGGATGACTGACCTGTGCAGAAGCAGTTTGTTGAAATGCAGCTCCTGGGGGCTCACCCCCAGCTTCACGTGCACCCCTTGGCAGCACAGTTGGAAGACTACTGGCTCCGGGTTGTCCCTGATGCAGCAGACGAGACTGTCTTCCAGGAGGCCAGCAGAAGTCGGGTATGCCCAAATACTCAGCTTCTGAACCCGTCCCCACAAACAGAAATACAAAGAGCCCTCTGTGAGCAGGAGGAACGGCACTTCTGCGGTGCCTGCCCTACCTGCTCGCCTCCTACCTTCTTCTCTTTGGGTTGCAGTCTCATGTTGGGAGGGTCCAAAAGGAATGTCTCTCCTTTACTGTCGTTCTCAAAGGAGAAATGCACCTCTGCCTCCATGGGGGAGTCGTTGAGGATGGTTAACTTTTCGCTGTTGCTGGGGCAGTTTTGTGCCTTGTACCTGTCCACAGAAGGGGAAAAGGCTGCAGAGGAGACTGTTGCCCTCACCACACACCGAGGAAAGCACCGTGTGCCGGCAGCAGGAGGTGGCACTGGAAGACCATGGTCTAACAAACAGGTGAAGAAAAAGGATCCCTGGAGATCCCCTCCCGACATCTCAGTCTGTACAGGCAGCACACAGGGATGCTCACTTGGGAGCAGGGAGCACATACCACTCTCTTGACTTCCCACAAAGCAGCGGTCCAAAGTGGAACTGCTTTGTACTCATGACATACTCCTTGAAGATGATGTCCTCCTTCTCCTTGCTCTTCCTCCAGTGAGGAAACACCAGCCTGGGCAGAGAAAAAATGGAGAATGAGAAGCTCTGAGATGCTGCAAGTAGGAAATCTAGTCAAAAAGCCATCACCCTTCTCAGTGGCTGAGGTACTGGTTCAGCCTCCCAGCTCCCAGCAGAGGAAGGGATGCTGGGTGACTCAGGTAGCACCATCTGCCCCAGCCAGAAGGTCACAAGGGGCAGCCCTGGCTCCCAGGTCGGGGGGAGCAGTATGGGATGCTCCTGTGGCCCAGCCTTACCGTGGGTTCTGGCTGATGCTGGGGTACAGGGCAGTGGCACTGCAGGGCAACTGGTACAGGCGCTTTGACCCCAGGATCTCAAAGTTCATCATCTGGTCAAACTGCCCTGGCACTGTGGTGCTGAAGTGGATCTTCAGTTCCACCTCACTGTGGGCAGGAACAATCCACCGGAACCTTCTCAGCCTGGCAGTTAAAAAGGAAGCTTCAGACATTGCTAAGGGGCAAACGAGACAAGGAGGAGGGCTGTGCACTCGCCATCCCATGGAGGCACTGGCAGAGGGTCGCTGTGGAGCTGAGGACGATGGACCTTGTTTGGCAAGATGAGCATGAAGCACAGGCATCCTCTCCTGCCTTGCAGCTCACCTGGCAGGTCTCTCGAGGGTTGAGTCACTTTGCAGTTGGCTTTTCTTTGACTCAGGTAAACTTCTGGGGGTTTCTGGGGAGTGATCACGGAGACTTTTTGGGCTCTGGGGGGTGTTTTGCTTTTCCTTGCTAGACTTGTGTCTGCTCGTGGCTTTCCCCTCCTTCAAGTGGTCCTGTGCCTCTGCCTCTGGCACCTTGGCATAAAGGGAGAGAGAAAGAGAGAGACATCCCCCCATCTGGAAAGCAGAATGGGGTTTGTTAGCCAACAGGAGAGAGAATAAATAATCACCACTGCCCATGGACTTGGTCTTCCTTATTGGCCTTTGTCTTGCCTCGGACATCTCTCCTTACCCAGGATCCTCTCCCCACCGAGGACCCTCTCATCAAGGCAAGTTGATGGGTTTAAGTGATTTTTTTGCTGTTGTCTAACAGAACTGCTCTATGTCTCCAGCAGAGCTGTCTCTTTTCCCTCATCCCTGGTGGAAAGGATGCCTGCAGACATGGGGTCCCATCACGTCTTCACTGCCCCTCCACGGTGACCCTTTTCGATCCAACCTGTCCCCTGCCCTGGTACCTTCACTGAAGGCACAAAAGGAATACCCACCACATCATCTTCTGCAGCAGCACCTTCAGGTTCAACAAGGATGAAGTGTCTGAGGTCTTGTGCTGCTGTGGAGACTCTGTCCTCCTCTGGGTAGGGGACCACGGAGAAAAGACAGCCAGGGGGAATGGGAGGTCCCAGTCCCAGAGAGTGCAGGATCTAAAACCAAAGAGAAAAGCCTGTTTATACTCCTGTCACCTTCATCCTCACACTCCTTCCCTAAAGGCCCTGAGCTTTTGGCAGTAGAGTTTTTTATTTATACGGAGTACAAGTGCTTTTTTATGCCCAGTGGGTTAGCAGGCTCCAGAGCAGAGGCAGGACCTACAGTAGGACCAAGAGAGAAACCTCTCCCAAGTGACTCAGCTGAAGAGAACAGTGCCTGGGAGCTGCCCTGCCCTGGGACTGTTTTTAATGATTTCCAGACTGAGAAACTCTCTGAACAGATAGGATGCTTTGACACAGAGCACTCCCACTTTCCACACATCTGAGGGAGACTGAGAACCTCCCCATCCACAGAGATACTGCGGAGCTATTGTGGAACATCATCAGTGGCCTTGACAAGGCTCTGTGTTGTTATCACCTGGGGGACACACTGTTCCAGGGCCCCAGACCATGGCAAGTTCAGCATCTGAGCCTTGCAGGCTTTTACCTGCTTTGCTGGTGGCAGCTTCTTGCTCTTCAGGATCCTCCTAAACACCTTTTCACCACGCGTGATGTGGAAGTCCAAGCAGGGCACTCCGGCATCCTGGCTTCTGACTGAGCCTTCTGCAACTTCCCCGTCCCACTGAAGACTCTTGTGGCTGCCATGTTTTTCTAGAGGCTTCTTCTCTGCCTTCTCCGGAGACCTACTGCTCTTCTTCTCGTCTTTGTGTTTAGGAGAAGACTGGGACTTGTCTGGCACTTGGTTCATGATACCCTGAACCCTGTCCCAGGATGACAGAATATGTCTGATCCTCTTCTGTGATGACTCATAGATGTTAAACCTCAGGTCCAAGATCCTCTCATGCTTACTCGGGACCTCTGGGATTTTGGTTTCTTGCTGCTGTTGTTTTGCTGCTGTTGTTTTGCTCTTCATCCGGACCTCTGGGCTTTCGGTTTCCTGCTGCTGCTCTTTTGCGGGTAGCTTAAACTTCACCGAGCAGCCATTCTTCTTCTTCTGCAGCTTCTCTTGCTTCTTTGAGTCTCGTGACAACATCTTTTTGCTTTCCTCATGCTCTCGAGCCAGCCACTCCAGCTTCCTTCTGCAAGCCAAAGAGAAAACACCCCCAAGAGTCACCACCAGAAACCTGCGCTCACTGTAATCCCAGCTGGCTCTGCCCTTCACTCTTTGACCCTGAGGCCAGGCAGAACTGTTAGACCATCACTGTGGACCTTCCTCAACCCAGAAAGCTTGGGAACATCCCAAGTGAGGAAGGGTGGGAGGTGACCTCCTGGGCTAAACCTAAGCCTTGCCATCATAAGGTGTCAACTGTGCAACTTCTCCCCTGAGGTCCACCCGGACACCTCCAGCACGCTGCCAAAAGTTGATCCACCATCTCTCTGCAGTGATGACTGAAGCCCTCCCTCTCTTGGTTTCCCAGTTTAGACCTGCCCATAAATTGCTAACACCTATTTATCCCTCCTCCAATGCTTACTTGGCTCCTTCAGCCCCCTTCTCATTGGGCAGAGCTTGCTCATTAATGAGAATAATCATAGCAATCAGAAAGCAAAGGCCGCAGAAAGTCCCCTCCTGCAAATCAGGCTCTGAACCACCAGGTTTCCTGCTGGAATACAGCTGTGACCAGGGCACACTTGTGCTGTCTGTCCTGGGAACTGATTTGAAGCAGCCCTGGCCATCTCCTCCCAGTGCAACAAACATCAGCCTGGGCTGAGAGAAGTGCTGAAACACAGGCTTGCTTTAAGCAGCTTCCCCTCCCAGCTCCACACTCTTCCTGTGCGTCCTCCTGAGCTGGGCTGCCTTGCTGGGCCAGAGCTTCTCCCGGGTTCACCTGCTGCTGCAGCTGAAGGGCAGCCTAAGCTTTTATGGATGGTGCTCCACCCTAAGGAAAGCCCTGGCACATCAGCATTGCAAGGACTTCATCTATAGCAGGACCAGGGTGAAAGCAAACCAGCACAGCTGTGTCCCACACCAACCCACACCACAATCCTGCTGGTTTGGTGAAGAAGGAGGATGATGAAGAAGATGAGAATCAACATCACACACTTTGAGACACTTCTGTGGGCAGTGGCAAGGCAAGCCCAGAGCTCAGCTCCCCGCAAGCCATGTCTAAGCCAGAGGGCTCACAGCTAAAGTGGAGAGAAGACGTTCTCATCTCAACAGAGGAAGGTCCTTCCTCTCTTGGGAACTGGGGACCTGGACCTGGCCATCCTTGTGCTGCTTCTGGCCTTTGCTCTTGAACCCCTCTGAGCTCAACCAAGGTCCTTGGAGCAGAGAAACCCTCCAGGGACACTACCCTGAGGAGTAACCCAGAGGAGGTTTACTTACCTCTCATTCCACTCACGCTTGATTTGTTCAATTTTGTAATCAAGCAGAGCTTTCTGCTTCTCAGGGAGGGCTTCGTACTCGTCCACATCCACATCCCAGAGACGTTCTTCCTCTCTCCGGGCAGCTTCTTCCTTCTCCCGTGCTTCAGCACAGACCACAAGAGAAGCCATCAGTGACTGCGAGCAGAGCTTGGGGCTCTGGGTCAGCTGGGAGGATTCACAGCTCTTTCCTGACCCAGCCTCTCACCCTGCCAGGAGACACTGCGGAGCTCACATCCCTGCTCCAAAATTCAGACAGCCCCCCAAACTGTGGCCTGGCTCAGGTGCACCATGGCTGTGGATCGCTGGCTGAGGGTTAGTCACTGAGCCACGCCAGCTTGCACTTGCACCCAAGCTTTAATGACTGAGATTAATGTGAGTCTTACAGCCTCAGCTCTGCTGTATTTAAAGAAGCTGTGACCTGAGTGCTGGCTATACTGAGGCAGAAGGTGGAAGGATCAATAAAAAGATTTCTTACAAGCTCTGCTGTAAACCCAGATACACACAGCTAAGGTTGAGGGCTTGAGAGACATTTGAGACGGATGGAGATATTTCACCTTTCTGCTGTTTTTTAGCTGCCCTCCTCTCTCTTGCAGCTATCCGCCTGCCTTTCCAAAACTCAGAATCCTGGAAGATGTTCACAACATGGATATGAGGGCGATTGCTGACAGCTTTGAGCACGCACAGGAGAGAAGATGCCAGGCTGCTCGCAAAGAGGGTCTCCAGGCCATCAAACACCACTCCCTTGTAGCAGTCACTCAGCTGCCAGGAGAGACAAACAGGAACAGCGAGTCAGCCATCACACATGCTGGGCTCGCAGCTGGTCAGTAAATGCAGATGTCTCAGGACACCAGCCACTGTCATTCCAAGTGCATTAGCTACAACCAGCTTGGATCTTGCACTACGCTCTGCCAACTTAGGGCATCTGCAGCTTCCCCCGAGGATCCCTGCATGCAGCACAGGATCCTCCAGCAGCAGGCATAGACCTCCTCCTCCTCTCCGAGCTGTCTCTCACTGCCTGTCTCTCTGGCGCAGGAACATCTCCGTTTCCCCCACGCCATGTACCTGCAGCCGTTCAGAGATGATTTCCACCAGCAATTCCTCAGGCAGCACACAGCTCCAAAACTTCCTCTTTTTCTCCTTTCTCCCCGTCCTGGTGAGGATGGTCAGTCGCTGTGGTGCAGGAGCGGTGGCGCAAGAAACAGCTGCCATCTGCAATGTGGAACATGGTAAGGAAAAGAAACCCCTGCGGAAAGCCCTGGACAGTTCCCACTGCTGGGTTCGGATCTGGGCTTCCTCACTAGTAGAGACGAGGGCAACCCTGCAGTGCAGGCTGGCAGCTGCAGGGGACAACCCTGGAGGGCCCATCCCTTGGCCAGCAGAGACCCAAGCTTGCAAGCCCCCGGCACAGCCTCCCACAGCTTTGCTCGCTGCCTGCAGCCAAGTTAGCCAGGAATACACTTTGCCCACAAACCATTAAGAACCAATGGTGCTTTTCTGCCAGAGCACATTCCTGTCCCAGCTGGCTCTTGGCACTCTAGACCCTGCACCATGGCCCTTGGCGACACTGTAAGCAGCCCCTTCCCATCTCAAAGGCAACAGGAAGGTCCCAGTGCAGATCATGTTTCACCTTGGAGGTCACTGAAAATCTTGCCTGGGGTTTGTCGGATGCCTTATCCTTGGTTGCTGAAGCACTCTGGGGTCCAGCACTGAAAGTCTTCTGGTTGGCTTTGTCCGCAGGACTGGGCTCAGTTTTCTTGGCCCGAGCACCCTTTTTACCTGTAGAGGAGACATGTATCAGCAGGGTTGGGAGAAGCAAGCAGGCATCTTCCACCCCAATGGGCACAGCCTTGCCCCCTGGAAGGGACATGGCACTTGTCCCCCAGCCTGTTGGGCACTAGCAGCACTGCTTCCCAGAAGCAGCTCCTTCCCTGCTTATCAGCAGGATAAAGCACACCGGCCCAGACTGGATTTTAAAGCCAGCTCTAGGCCCCTCCTAACAAACATGTACGCAGGTGACACTGCTAGCACAGTAGCTCTCCTACGGATCAAGCCAAAGATTCGCCCTCCAGGACCATTGTTTCCATGCCTTGCACCCATCCTGCATTTTCACATGGAGACTGTAACATGCAGCCCAGCCTCAGCTGCATCACCCATCTCTGCTGGAGCTAAATCCTCCGTGTGGGAAAACCCCAACTGGGCTCCAGACCCTTCTTCCTTCCACCAGCTCTGAACCCAACCAGGTTCAAAGCGGAGCAATGCAAAACTTCTCCCCACACTGAGCAGGTCTGGCCTAACACTGCAGAGCTCAGGGCACCAACTGTAGAGAAGCAAGATTCAGGATGGGAACAGTTCCAGGCATGGAGAAAAGCATACAGTAATTGGCAGGACTTTCATATGGACTTTACTGTTATTATGTGGTTTCACTGTATTCATGCTACACAGTGCACAACTGCACATGCCCAGGCTTCCTCCTCCCCCTTTTGCTACACAGTGCACAACTGCACATGCCCAGGATTCCTCTTCCCCCTTTTGCCTCTGCCCTGTTCTGATTTGCTCCCCCATTTGTCTGTCTGATAGCCCACCCGATGTTCTGCCCCCTTTCCCTGGCGGGACGGTTATCGGGCGCACGCCTGAATAAACAAGTCTGCTTGCACCCTTCCTCGTGTCCTGTCCCCTCTTCCCTCGGACCGCAACAACCAACTGCCCAGCAAAGTTTCATAAAAGTCTCCAGTCTAATCTGGAGAACAGCACAGTGTGCACAAGCTGTGTGACCCGACAGTGGGCATAGGAAAATCTCTGGAGAAAAGAGCTTATCTACAGCACGTCTCTCATTGGAAACTCCTCTAGGAGGTTAATTCTTCCCTTCCTCTCACATTTGCAAAGCCACACTCAGTTGTCTTGTGCTTAATGAGCCACTTCAGAGGGCTTTTTCCTTGTGAAGGTGACAATGGTTCTGCCTGCTGCCCATGAGGAGCAAGCTGGATTCAGTTTTGAGGAAATATAAAAAATTCAGAGAAAGAGACAGGTGTGCTTCACCACCCCTAGAAAAAGGAATATGTGCCAAGAATGGCAGTAAAAGTGCCCCTGTTGGAGCCCTTAATATTGAGCTTTTTGTTTTCAAACTAGCCAGAGATGCACAGCACGCATGACCCCTAAGAGACCCAAGGACTGTCAAACCATTTCTCTGAGCAAGCAGAAGCAGACGGTCGTGGTGGTTTCCTAAGCATGCTCTGAGTGCAGCGTTTCTCCTTACCCGGCATCTGTTCCCTCATGGCTCTTTGCTGACGGGCAGCCTCGACGCACAGCTCCCGGGCACGGCACCCCGCCGAGCTGCGCTCATCCGACATGGCTTTTGTCACCACCTCGTCCAGGGACAAGCAGGCGGCACTGTAATACTTGGACAGGGCGGCCGCTACCCTTGTCTTTCCTGAGAGAAAGAGGAAGACTGCTTGGTGACACTTGCACATGAGGCATTTTCAGGGACAGCCTCTGGAAAACTCACAAACAGGTTTCAAGGACGGTGGGAGAGCAAGTGCCCTTCTAGGGGAGACCACGAGGGAGGCAGCTTGAGTACGGTTATGAGCACTGAACTCCAGCCCCAGGTGGATCATCTCCACCTCATATTCAGCTGAGGACTTTGTCTCAGGCACCACGGTCCACCAGGATGCATTTCTCCTGCTTCCCCCTCTCCTTGCAGCCCAGGGCTGTGGCTCCCGTACCTGTTCGGGGTGTCCCATAGACGATGATGGCAATTCCTCTGGGCATTTGGGCTTTGAGCTCTTCTACAGCGGGACGGGTGTAGCGCCTGATGGCCTGACGGATGGGCCTGTCAGACTCATCCACCATGTCCTTTAACAACCTGATGCTCTCTTGAAGCGCTGCTGTGCAGAACAAATAGAAAAGTCAGCCTCCTGCCTACCTTGGATCCTGATCATCCTCCCCATCCCCTCAGATCCCAGGAAAGGAGACGGCTGAAAGCAACGTGAGCTTGTGCTTTTGTTGCTGGGAAGGACCAAATATAAAAGAACCAGTGATATTAGACCTGGTTCTACTGGCTGAAGAGCTCATCTGATGCTACTCTTTGAGGCTAAGGGACGCAAGGGGATATCCTGAATATTTCCCCAGTCCGTGGCAGGCAGATAGGAACTGGCTTTGGCTACACTCCAGGTTGGCAGAGGATGCCACAGCCCTTCATCCAGGAATTCCTCCACCAGGCAGGAGATCAGATGGCTGCTAGAAGCATGGGCTTTGCATGGAGAACAAGGTGACAGAGAGCTCAGGGTGTGTGGGCTGGGCTCCCTGCTATGTCCACAGTCAGAACAGCCAATGCCAAACCCTCACCATTGTCCTGGCCTGATTCTTCCTTGAGCTTGGACATAATCTCTTGACCTGAAGCCTCCATCTTCTTCCATTTTTCATAACATTCCAGCACCTCTGGGGGCAGCTTCTCACCCACAGCACGTGGAGGCATCACCACGGCCGTCCGGTCTTCAAACTCCTCCAGGGTCCGCAGGATCTGTGCGCGTGGGGAAGAGAAACCATCCACAAGATTCCTTTATCAACCTCCATCATACCAACAGACTCAGCCCATCTTCTCCCTCCTTCCTTCCTCCCAACAACAGAGGCTATCCAAACCCCTCCACAGACTGCCAGCAGGGATGGCTCTCCTCAAAGTGCCACCAGGTTTTGCCCTGGGGATTGCCTCCATCTCCCTGGCACAAGCCTGGGAAGGCTGGAGTGCTGGAGAGCTTGGGGAGCACATACATGGGGACCAGACTTTCCCTCTCACCTTCTCCTCCTCACGGTACTCCTCATCAAACTCCAGGGAGTAAAATTCAATGGGGAACTCGCAGGGGTTCTTCACCACCACTGTCCTCTCCAGCTCAGGGCTGCACGGCAGCACTGCTCCCAGCTTGATCTCTGTGGGGCTGAACTCCAGCTGTGGCTCCAGACCCTGTCCTGAGATGTGCAGCACGAGGAGCTGGCTGTTCCCACGAACGTTGATCTTCAGCTCAGTTTTGTAAGACTTCTGAAAAGAGAAAAGTGCAGAAAACTTGTCCATGAAGTCCTAGGTGACAGGACCCCAAATACAAGCCTTGCCCAAAGGTCAGGGGTGTTATCAGTCCCTCCAGGGGGAATGGAAACCCAGATATTTACTTATGGTAGGGGCTACAGCATCTGTGTCCTTGGTTCTGAGTAACTGGGACGAATCCTAGTGTGCAGTGTAACTGGGTATTTGGGTATGAAATGGATGTAAAATGGATTATCAGATGTTCTCCCCTAGTCGTGGAGAAGCACACGAGAAAGGCCCTCAGTCCTGGCACTGCTGCATCAGGCAAACACCAGCTCTATGAGAGAGGCAGATGAGCTCTCGCTGGCTAGAAATAAAGGTCGTCTTCTCTGCTCAGTGTTTGGCTCTGGTCAAAGTCTGACACAAGATGGTTGGTTACATCTCTCTAGCAATGAAAAGATCCCTGTTCTTGGGCATGGAAGCACTTGTGTCCATCCTGTTACACCCTGTCAGTTTCCAAGTCCCAGTGGCCACATGCAAAGGGCTTTTGGAAATGCTCCATCCTTGAAGTCGACTCCCCAGATGCATGGCAATGTGCAGGCAGGCTGGGCCAGAGCCCCAGGGACTGCTGGCAGCACACCACTACAGGTGACTGTCCTTCCGTGCCCAGGAAGGTGTCTGGTGGCTGTTTTGTCTGTTGGTGTCAGCAGCAGGATGAGCCAGCATTGACCCTTCCAGGTTGATGCCCTGTGACTGTGCCAGCTGCTCTGCACCCAGCGTCGCAGGCTGCAAATACAACCAGGCAAGGGGGAGGACGAGGGGAGTCAGGCAGATCTCCCCCATGGGCAGAGAGGCAGCCACAGCACAGTGCCCTGATGTTCCCTGTGGGAATTTCAAGGTGCCTCTCAGAAGGGTGTGCTGCAGGGGAAACTGAGGCACAGTGAGTGCAGGGCTTCCAGAAAGCTGCCAGTGGAGGAAGAGCTCATCTGCCACTCCCTGCGTCGGGCTCTCCTTACCACCCTGCCCTGACAGAGCTCCTGGGGCGACACCTGTCAATCTCACCTCTTCCAGGGGTGAAAACTGGATCTCCAGGTCACACCACTCTCTACCATAAAGGGTTCCCTCCCGGGCCTTCCACTGAAAGACATGGGAATCATCCTTTGCAGCCTGGAGCTCCTTCTGACGCACGGCTGGTGTCAAACGTTTGTCCACCTGAGCACAGAAACCAGTTGTGTGAGGTCTCCTCGGTCTGAGAGGACAGAGCCTCGGTTCCTGGAGTGCTCCGAGATCCTGTCCCGGTGCTTAGAGCACCCGCAGCAAACCCGGCGTGGCCCCCACCATCTAGAACTGGAGGGACAACCTGCAGGCAGGGCAAGCAGATGGGGAGCCACTGTCCTGTCCTCAGAGGAGGAGGAGGAATGGGTGAGGATGGCAGAGAAGCAAAGCGTCAGCCAATGGAACAGGTCCAGGTAAAGCAGCCTTGATCTGGACCCTCAAAAGCTTCCTCAAACACGCTGCAGCCCAAGTACTCAGGCAGCCACAGGCACAGAAAAGGCAGGAGGTGCAAAGAAAACCTGACCACGACGTTCCGTGTTACGTTCACCTGTGCTTTACCTTCTTGGCAGGTTTGTTGACAGTGAGGAACCATTCACAGGGCGCGCTGAACCGGTTGTAAAGCCGGACTGTTTCGTGCCAGCACTGCCCAACCTGGACATCGGGGAACTGGATTCTGTTCCTGGAGAGGCTGAGCAGCAGCTGAATCACAGTGGCACGGAGGCGGATGTGCAGCATGGGGCCTTTCTTTACCTGGAGAAGGACAGAGAGTTCAACTGAGAGTCCAGGTGACATGTGCCTGCTGCCTGCCCCAAAAGCTGCGGTACCTTGATGGGCAGGAGCACATCCACCTTTCCCATGGGCAGGTTGGCACTTGCAAAGCTCACTTGAAACAGTTTGGTGGCGCCGTAGATCAGGAACTCCACGGGCTCCAGGTATACGCTGAAACCTTGAACAGATGAGAACAAAGCAGCTGAGATACACAAGCAATATGAAATGTGTCATAAGCATGTTAAGGCCATACGAGAGCCCTGCTGGGAGCCCTGGGAAAAACCTCACGCTGTGCTGTTCCCGGGACAGAAACTTAGAGGAGACACCTGAGCAGCCCTCAGACACAGCGAGCCACTCTGTGATGGAAGTGCAGATTTGCCTCCAGGCCTCTTTCGGAAGCCTACTTCGATCCACCAGAGAATCAAACAGGCTATTTCCTCAGTAAAGGCTGAACACAAGAGCTGTGAGAGTGTGAATTCCAGACAAAGCACTTTCCAACCACAACAGATCCCATCTGTTTGCAACACCTCCAGAATGCCCAAAGAAACTTCATGCCGATGGGAACCAAAGGCAGAAGATGCTGGGAGATGATGAGGGTAATCAGCCCATCAGGCCCCTGCAGGGAAGCATCAGGACAGTCACGGGCAGGGCACAGCTGGCCAGGAGAATTCTGGCCCTGAAGCTCCCAGCAGGAGCACTGGGAGGAAGAAGCTCAAAAAACCTCCCCATGTGCAGTGGCTTAAGCTAATCTGTCTGAGACAGCTCCTTGCAGCCAACAGGAATCCTCTCCAGCACTGGCTACCTGTGTCACGCAGGGCACGTTCATCGGCCCGGACGGCCACTGGGAACCTCCAGGTGTTGGTGATCTTCACAGTGCAGCTTTTACTGTAACCCTGAATGACAGTGCCCATGTCCAGGATGTACTCGGGCAGCTCAACTCTGGAAGGAGGAGTAAGGACAGTCCTTAAACAACAGCAGAGCCACATGTTCAAGTGGTGGAAGATTCAAATAAAGTGGATATTTCTGTACTCACTGCTGTAAAAACTCAAGCCTACAAAACCCAAGACCTGACCACCTGACAATGACTTTGGGAAGTTATGGGGAGTGCAGGTCCTAGGTTTCATCAGCTTCCAATGGGACCCGAAAATAAAATTAGTTTTAAATGGACTCTGGTCACAGCTCCTCCACTACAAAAAGCCAGTGTACGTAAATCCACTGGACCTCCAGTGGTCTCAGTGAAAACACTTCTCCTGGTGCACAGCCCAAGCCTGAAATTGCTTCTGAGCCTTGGAATAAGATTTGAACAGGAAAACTTCATTGCTCTGCAACCAGGTCACATGAAGGATCTGTTTTGCAAAGCATCTTCTTCCTGAACTGGAGCCTCCCATGCCCATGCAGCATCATGAAGGAGCAAAGGGAAGGACCAAGTTACCCAGATAAGCCCTGCTGCCCCACCAGCATCAAAGCCACCTTTTGCTTAGGGTGCTCTGTTAGTCAGAACCAAGAGAGCAGCTTGGAATTCTCTTTCAGAGTTGGTCAGCAGGGACAGTGTCTGTGCTGTCTGGAAGGGCTTGATGGTCTGCACTGGGTCCCCTCAGCTCCAAGAATGGGACCTTGCACCTGTGGGGAGCTGAGCAGCTCCAAAGCTCAGCGCGGCACTGGGGAAGGGAGGACAGTCAGCTGCTCACGAGCTATTGCTGTCACAGCTACTGGGGTCAGCCCCTTTCTGAAATGCCCACTGTTCCCAGCTCTGCATGCTCAAGGAGCTCTCAGGAGCAGGGGACACTGCTGGGTGTTGCCCTCAGGGCATCTGAAGAGAGGGAACAGGAGTCCCTACTCACTGGACAAGCTTCTGAGGAATGCGCTTGTCAAAGACAGTGTCCTCTGGGAGGCGGGAGATGAGGATTGGCTGCAGCTCCAGAGCACCCTCCTTTATCAGCATCTGCTCCATCTCCATCCTCAGCCAAGTGTTTGCCTGAGGGAAGGGAAGGCAGTGGCTGGTTAGCAAAGGCCCTTCCCAGGGCCCAGGCTTGTATCTGAAAGATGATCCCACCCTGCTCTTGTTGAGAGGGGGAATGGGGTCCTCCTCTCTGACTGCTCAGTGTCCGTGACACATTCTGCTCTCCTAGCCAGGATCTTCTCTCCAGGGAAATAACTGCAGTATCTGTGCCTTCCCACCCACTGCTAGAAAAGCTGATCTGGCCAGACAGACAAGCTAGCAACCTTCCAGAGCTTCAGGTATTTGCCTGTCCCCAGCCAGTGCCAAAGCAGCTTGGACAAAAGCTGCCTAGAAAAGGGAACCCCAATCAAGCTGGTGCCTCTTGGAGTTGAGCACTGCCAGCAGAGTCCCAGGGCACAGTCAGGCTGCTACTACTAAGGTCTGTAAACCTGCTAGGGTTTGATTTGGGAGCAACAAACTCCCCAGCAAGGGGAGTAGCCAGGAAGCTTGGTACATCTCCAGGAGAGACCACGACCAGAGGTGGGGCAACACTGAGCTGATGCATGTTTGTGGTCAGGTGTGGGCAGGGAGGTCCCAAGTGCCAGCAGGGCACTGAGAAGCTGTTGTGGGGTGTTGTGGGGTGCCAAGGGTTCAAGTGACATGGGGAGGGTGGCATGTGCCAAATGGGACTGCAGCTGTGCTTACCACAATGCCAGGGCCCTTCGCGTGTCGCTTCCTGATTCGAGCCTTCCTCCAAACACTTGCTTTCTTGTCCTGCTTGTCTTTTTTCAACTTTTCTTTTGCCTGTTTCAATAGTTTCTCATATTTTTCACTTCCTGAAGGAAGAAAACATTCACAAATAGAAGTGTGGGTGCAGTGCCAATACCATTTAAGCTGAGAAGTTCCACTCCCCCAAAGGCTGGTCTCTCCCAGAAACAACCCATCAATGGAAAGCCATCTCTGGAGAGTGGACGCTGCTGCTTGTCTCTGAATCCTCATGTTCACTCCCACCCATCCTCCTCCCCACAGAGGAGCATCTCATCCCCTGCAGTGTCATGCAAATCCAACCCTGCCAAAAGCCCTGCCATTCTCTCTTATAGCTTTCCCAAGCTTTTCTGTCTAGCCATCTTTCCAGGCCTCTGACGGAAGTGCTGGCAAGAGCTGCAGGATGGTTACTTGGACAAAGCCTACATGTGCTTGTCTGCTCAAGACTCAGGAAGCAACCAGAGGGGTGAGTGTTGGTCTGGCAGCCCTGCAAACTCCAGGCTTGGTGGAGATGGGTGTGAGCTGCCCTCTGGGCATTACAGTTGGGAAAAACCCCAGTGAGGACTTTGCTGGGGAGCAGATGGGCACTGCTCACCGTTGATGCTCCAGGGCAGGTCCAGACAGATCCCGGCAAAGACCGCCTCTCCTTTCAGGGAGATTTCTGCCGGTTTCAGGTGATCCACTTGAACCTGGAAAGTCCTGCAGAAGACTCCTGGTATTCCTGGCAGGTAATAGAGCTTCAGCACTTGCTCCTTGCCAGGTTCAATGGAAGCCTGCAAGGGACAGGAGAAGAGGGAGGCAATGCATTAAAGAGGGTGTGATGGAGGAAGGCTCAGGCCACAGACAGGCTAAGAAGACAGGTTCTCTCTGGAAGAAAACATCAGATCACATCACCTTCTAACTTCCTCCTGCCCAAAAGCTCGAGCCTCCAAGGCGAGGGTGCAGAGGGTGCAGTGTGTCCTTCCCAGGGCTCCTAAGGTTGCACCCCCAGCAGAGCCTGCCCTGTGCTCAGCGTGAGCACAGCTCTGCTGCTAACGGGGTTTGCCCTCTGCCAGTGAGAGCCAGGCTGAACAGGTAAAAGCTCTTTTGCCACCACTGTGGGAGTGAAGTGGCCATGCTCTCAGCAGGGCCAGCAGCTCCTGTCACCCCTTGTAGGAGACAGGCAGGAAGAAATGGGAAAGCCAATAGGCTTCCTCTTCCTGGTGCAAAGAGGAACAAAAACAGGAACACTGCTTCACCTCAAAGACATCCAGGCAGCACTGAGAAGCTGGGACAGTGGTGGGATGCTCCAAATTCCTCTCTTGGCTCTTCCAACCTTGTTCCTCCCTGGCCCCCTCACTGCCCCACAAAGCTGCTCCAGAGCAGCACAGCTGGGGGGAGGGAAGGACCAGCACAGGGGCTGCGACAATTTCTGGATGAGGAGCTTCAAGCCCAAGCAAGGAATTTGTAAGTGCTGCTTAGTGCTGGCACAGGGGAGGCACGGGCACGGAATAAGTCCTGTCTGATCCCATAGCTGGGGTAGGTGACCCTCAGAAGAGCCTCAGTGCCAGCACAGCCACAGAGCTCAGCAGTCGAGGGCCAAGGAGTGACCAACGTGCTCGTGCCTCCTGCCGGTGGCTGCCCTGGGATGGCAGAGCCACTCGCCAGCCAAGGCCACAGGGAGTCTGACAGGATGGCACTTGCTTGACCTTCTCTGCCCCCAGCAGCAATTGTTTACAGCCCTGTCTCTCATGGCTGGGTTTGGTTTTGTTTTCCCCTCTTTTTTCTCTTTAACCCTCTCCTTGGCCACCTGACACAGGGCTGGGGTCAGTCAATTGTGCCACTCACTGTGCTGGGCAGGACCACGAGCACACCAGGCAGAGGCTTGTCTGCAGTGCCAGTGCTGGGGCTCTGTACCATGTAGGTGAATCCCATCTTCCCGTTGTTCCGCAGGGTGACCTCTGCTTTGGTGACTTCATTAAAGAGCTGGAGAGAGGACAGAGGAGTGGGAAGTTACAGACACAGGCCTGGTGCTGGGAATCTCCTTCCTCTTTCATGGGGTTGAAAGCAGACACACTGCAGGAGCAGGGACTGGGAACAAGCTATGGGCACTTGGAAACATGGGGAACCCCCAGGCACAGGGACCTGCACAGGAACAGAGTTCTGGCAGCATGCAGAGGGGCAGGAACAACCATGGGAGAACCAGTAACAAATGAAGCAGGGGACACAGGCCCTCTGCACTCTGAGGGGTCACCAACAGCCAGGAGAAACAAAGGAGGTGGCATCGAGGCATTCCAGAAGAAAAGACACCTGCATGCAAGTATTGGCAAGCAACACACCAGCAAAAAGGGAGACAGATGGGGCACCAAGACAGGGACAGCAGCTGGAAAGACCTGTGGACTTTTAACTGAGAAGCAGTAAAGTAGGGATTATTCTGGGACATTCTCTCCAACTGCAGTGACCGGAAGCCCAACCGGGTTATTTTGGGGATTAAGCAAGAGCATTAAACAAGAGCATCTCATTGGAGCTCAGGCTTTACGAGTGGATCAGCAGAGGGATTTCTCAGGGATATGTCCCTCTGGACATCCCCACTGGGATCCTGCTTGCTCCAGGAGGCAGCATTGGGTACCCTGAAGATAAGGAATTCCCAACATTTTGGAGGGGGGCGGAGATGGCCATTACAAAGCAGTCTGGATGCCAGACATATCCCTCCAAGGTTGTACTTCCAAGCCCCAGAGCCAACAAAGGAGCTGGGAAGGGGAGAGAGCCCTGGGCCAGGCTGGGAAGCAACCTGCTGGTGATGGTCCCAAGGCAGCAGCTCCGCCAGGAGAAGGGGGTGGTACCTGCAGCCCGCAGTCAATCTCCTCGACGCTCAGGTGGTAGGTGAGGACTGAAGTCTCCCCCCTCAGCTCCACCTCGTAGGTTGGGCCTCCCTCCACTTGGCACAGCACCGTGACACGGGCAATGATGTTGGCGTGGCCAAAGAAGGTGAAGGGCACCTGCTGGCTCTTGCCCGGCTGCAGCACACCGGACACCGGCTGGATGTCGAAAACCTGCAGGAGGGGAGGAGGGATCGAGTCGTTGAGCATGGAAATGGGTGCAGAAGAGCAGCTGTGGCTTGGAGCAAAGTACAACCATAGCTGGAGGGGCCTATTCCTCAAACACCAGCCAGAAGCATCCTAATCTCATCCGGCCTCCATGCCACTGACCAGTGGAGGGAGCATGGCCAAAGTCTTCTGCCATACTCACTGCTCAATGCATTAATTAATACCAGACATTAAAGTAAACTGGGATGTCTCCTGGCAGCAAAACATTCTCTCTGCTGCAGAACTTGCCTTTAAAACCAGTTTTTACTGCCTTCAGAAAAGCAAGAGACTCAGAGGTGAGAGCTCTTGGAGCTGAGGGGAGGACTCCAGCCCAGCTCATCTGACTCCTGAGGTTTTTCCCTCTCTCTGACTTACATGCTGCTCTCTCAAGGTGCTACACCAAATGCTCCTGAAAAATATCCTGTTGAGCACCTGATGAGGTACCAGGGGAGCAGTGCCCTCCATGGGTGCTGCACAGGGAGTTCTGCAGCTCTGGGGGCAACAGACCTGCTTGCCACGCTGAAAATGTGCAAGTGAGAGAGATTCCCACTCACCTCCTCCGCTCTGAAGCCAGGGGGCTTTACCTCCGCAGACTGCCCAGACCTCTTCGTCTCTACTGAGCTCCGAGGCCCTGCAGCAGTGGATGGTGGCACCTGGAAGACAAGCCACTTTCCATTGCAGGACACAGCCACCTTGCCAAGTCTCACTCTATAAAAGGCAGCTCTGGGGCCATCACTGCAATGACGGCTCTTGGGTGAAGGCAGAGACCTGAAAATGGGTGGTCTAGCTGGGCTGGGAAGGGGGTACATGGAGATCAGGATTTGGCATGGCTTGCTACAGGAAGGAAACTGGAAGCCTTCTCATCATGATGCAGAAAAGCCTCATTTTACATTGTAAAGGAAACAAGCCAAAAAATCCCAAACTCATCATAGGTCTGTAGGATCGGAGTGGGCTTCTCCAAAGAAAAGTATCCTATTTCTCCCTCCCCAGATGCCCCATGTCTAGCCACTGGCCCTGCTGCCCAGCCCACTCTCAGGGCACAGAACAGCAGGGCAGCAAAAGGGGAGGTCGGCACGAACACAGCTTTTTGGTGGCAAGCCGGGGGAGGCAACACAGGTGTCAGGTGCACAAGAAAACCCACCTTTGCTTCTGGGGAGTCCTCTGAATGTGAGGACTCTTCAGAAGAATCCTGCTCTGTTTCCAGGGAGTCCTCTGAATCTGATGACTTTTGGGAAGAGTCCTGCTTTGTTTCCAGGGAGTTCTCTGGATCTGATGGCTGTTCAGGAGAATCGTCCTCTGTTTCCAGGGAGTCCTCTGAATCTGATGACTCTTTTGAAGAATCCTGCTCTGTTTCCAGGGAGTCCTCTGAATCTGATGACCCTTCGAAAGAATCCTGTTCTGTTTCCATGCAGTTCTCTAAATGTGATGTCTGTTGGGAAGAATCCTGTTCTGTTTCCAGGCAGTTTGCTGAAGGTGATGATTGTTGAGAAGAGTCCTGCACTGCTTCCGGGGCTCTGGCTGGCTCCTGCACACTTCCAGGTCTGAAGTACCTCCTTGAATAACGCCCACACTCAACACAACCGAACGTGACCATTTGTGGTTGGGGTTTGAATGTAGGTGGGGAAGGTATGAACCTGGAAAATAACGTAACCATGATCACGGACCTGCAGTGGGAGGGAGGGACACCTGCACGAGCAATTCCTCGTCAGGATGCAGCCCCCAGGTGGGTGCAGGTGTGGTGAGCTCAGAAAGGGGGTGTCCAGAAAAGGAGAAGGAAGGGGAAGGTAACAAGATGTTCAGCATCAGCTCAGGTGCTAACTAGCTCTTTCTGTGATGTGATTTGGGACTTTCTGGGCATCCTCCAGCACTTCCAGGCCAAGGTTGGGAATGCAGAGAAGGTAGCAAGGAGAAGAGAGCTGTTTCTCTGCTTGCAGAGAGGACCCATCCCAAAGTAGAGGGGCCAAAGGGCTGTGAAAGTGCCTCCACCAGCACTGTGAAGGTGGGACTAGGAGCCCTTCACCAAGGTGGTCACTGCCTCAGGCCACAGAGGTCTGAGAAAGCAGATTTCCCCACCAGCTTTCCTTCCCAGAGGAAACCAGGAGGGGGGACTACAGTAACACCAAACTCATGGAAAACGCCTATTCCCTGAGCATCCAGCCTGACCATGGTTGGTCAGTGTTATTCCACAAGGGAAAGCCAAAAGCAGTTTGTCAGATCCCAGGCAAACAACTTTGGTCTTTGCAAAGTACAAACATCATCATGGCTGGGCTTCGCGAACGAAGATTTGGGAAGGGCTCTACCCACGTTTGTTGCAAGCGTGTTGGTGGTTGAAAAGGCCAATATGAGATAGGCATGTCCGGTTGCAAAAGGCACAGCAGAGAGACTCCTTAGATGGTATATTCTGCAAGGCACGATTCTTTCTGCGTTGCCTTTTCTCCTCAAGGGTGATCCTGCGTGCTTTCTCAAAAGCATCAGCAGCGTTATAGATGGTGTGTCTCCAGGTCTCTCAATTGGAGGCCAGAGTAGACCAGTTATGGTGGTCAATATGGCCAAAAAGTACAAACAGGACCAAGGAAAAAGAGCTTTCAGGAGAGGGCAAAGGTGCACATACCCTGTCGGGTACTCCTTGCTGTCCATCTGGAATGACCAGTGGTAGTGGGCAGGAATTGGGCTGCAGTTGGTCATCTCCAGGTAACGCACTTGTTCTGTGCCAGTCACGATGCAACCAAAGTCCAGTGCTTTGGTCGGGATACGGAGATTCGGGAAGTAGACCTCTCCCCGAACGGTGATCTCTTCCTCATGAGGATGTTCCACCAGCCGGATCTTCATAGTCTTCTCTGCTACCCAGCTGATCGGATCCTTTTCATAAGCTGGGTTAAAGCTGATGGAGAGATGAAGTTCCTGCCCTGCCTCCATCTTCACAGGCTGCAAGGAGACAAGGAGTGTTAGTCACCCACACGATGAAGTCCCAAGGTCTGACAGCACGAAACCGTAAACGCTCAAAGTGTGACCCCAGCATGGCCTTCCCAGTCCACCCTTCAGTTCTTTACAAGGGAGGGTCTGACTGCAAGCACCACACTCCAGTGGGGGATTCTCAGGCTCCTGTTTCTGTGCTCAGCAGCAATACAAGAGGATGGGGTGCTCTCCAGGAGACACCTCTGTTGCATGGCTTGCCCACACCTGGCTGCCTGCTCCCTTCCCCTCATATCTTAGAGCCAGGAGGGATCTTTCCAATTCAGATGAGTTTTTGCTTCCTTCAGCAGCTCTGCTGACTCAGTTCACAGTTCAGGCCAGTCCACTGTTGACTCCACGGAATAAACTTCTCGACTTGAGGACCTCCCAACAGAAGGGCACCACCACAGCCCTCCCTCTTCAAAGCCCACTGGTAGGAGGGTCCTTGGCTGCTCACCTGGGCCTCTGCAGGGAGGGGCTGCTGGTCTGCAGCACAGATTAGGAACGGCTGCTCCAAGTCCAGCAAAAGGTGGAATGGCAGGCAGCAGGTGTTTTTTAAAGACAGAGGCTTGTACTGAAGAGTCAGGACATCATCGGGGTGCTACAGAAACAGGAGACAAGGAAAAACAACCTCAAGGAGCCACAGACCTCCTTCCCCTTCCAATGCATTTCACATTTTTCAACCTCAGAAGTGCATACATCTCTATTTACTCTTTTTCTTTGATTCTAAACCTTCCAGGACATTTTTCTCTAGAGCTGATTCTTTTCATGTTTGGAACTTACAGCCTCCCCTGGCAGACAAGGAAACGCTCCCATGTACAGAGAAAGGAATAGGCCCCTGAGAGAAGGCAGCTGCTTGAACAAGATCAAAGGCAGAAAGTGACCCCAGAACGTTTGTCTCTTCACTTGGGTAGAACAACACAAGATGATCTTCCCTCATATACAGTCATTTCTCACAGCCTTATTGGCTCCAGCAGCCTCCTAGAAGCAGTGATGCCAGCCAGAAGAGAAAAGCAAGCAGGATTTGGCCCAGGGTGGAGATCCTGCAGCAGCCCAAGGTCAACTTTGAACATTCCATGAACATGTGGCCAGCCAGAAACCTCAACAGTCCCTCTGCATTGTGTGTCCTGCTGCCTCTGCTACAGGCACATGGTGTCTATAACCTCAGAGCTATGATCAGCCTAAGCTCCTTCTTCTTGTTTGTGCATTGTGGTGGGCTTCTTGCATGGTGCAGAGAAACCAGACAGAGTTTGGGAAACTAGTTCTGGATGTATTGATATCAAACAGCTGCAGTGCCAGAGCACTCCATAAATCAGTGTGGCATCAAGCAGAGCACAGGCAGGCATCAGGGAGAGCTGAAAAGCTTCTCGTTACATTCAAACTACCTGTTCCCAGAATTCAGTGCTTCCATGGAAGCCTGGGAACCTGAGGAAGGACCCAAAACCACAGAAACTAAATAATGCAACATCCTTTCCAGACACCTTGTGGGAATGATAATGCAGAAGTTGGGATCCAGAGACTAAAGGGCACCTGCTTTTCCTCGGTGTCATCATCACTGCAGCTGCAGGATGTGGGTGGGTCCTTAGAAGCAGGTGAGGCTTGGGGAAATGCACAGAGCTGTACCACAGAGCTATACCATAGAGCATCCATACCAACAGCAGAGAAGGCAAAGACACACAGCAGATGACAGGTTTTTCCTCATCAGCCTGAGGAATTCACAGGAATCTCTGGTTTTCCCAGCTTCCCTACAGCACTGGTGTTCAGACACCACCGTGCATTGGAGGATCCTCAAAAACCTCCCTTGACAGTGAGCACAGAAACTGGCATTTCTCTCCAGGTGGCCACGGTCCCCCTCAGCAGTGCAGCTGTAGCTGCAATTCTACTTTAAGGAAGTTAAAAACCAGTCTCATCTCTAAAAACATCCTCACTTACTTTACAAAGTGCCTCAGGAAGGGTAAAGAGGGCTGTTAACACAAGCACACACACCCCATGAGCTCTCTCGCTGAGCCATGCAGTAAATGCCAGGATGCAATCCAGAGACTTACCTTCTCCACACAGAAAGTGATTGCTCTGGATGATATTTGCACCGTGGGAGAAATGAACTTGCAGGTGACCTTTGTCTTGATTATCTCTTTCTTTGTTATCTCTGGCCCCACGGCTGCCTCACACACCAGCTTCTCCTCCACCTCCTGCATGCAAGAGTCATTTGTCACCAGTGGTGCTGGCAGGGTGTCCAGCAAATGCCCTGTGTTGGCTCCTTACCCCCCACGGGCCACAAAGTTACAGACACTGCCCCCTTTTCTTCCTGTGCTGCAGCCTATTTCTTCTGCGCTACAATGGCCCTAACACTGCACCCCAACAGCCACAAAAGGCACTCGTGAGACACTCCCTCCCTTCACAGGGCTTCTTTTACCCCCTGCTTACCCTAGAGAAACCACCTGACACTTGTTTAATTCACTTTCTGCTTGGGCTCCTGCTTTAAGTGTAACCTATTTTCTCTACCCTTCCTTTGTGCCTCAGCAGGTGACACTCCTGTTTGCCCCGAAGGAGCAATACTTCCTTCAGCCCGTATTTTGGGATCAGCATTGCGGTTTGGTAGCTATGGAATCACAAAAAAGCCTTAGCAACCGATGGTGGCCAGCAAGGAAAGCCACCAGTGCTGCCATGGAAACCTGTAGCCTTAAACACTGTCTTGAAGGCCCTTGCTCATTTTCCCAGGCAAATGTCAAGGGGCTGCAGGAGAAGCCCCACTGGAGGGGACCTGATGGGGAAGGCTCAGCCCTTGGCAGGGACCTCACCTGGACAGTGCTGGAGAAGCCTTCCAGCACTAGCTCCATAGTCTCGCCTGGCTGCAGATACATCCCCCATGGCTGCAGCTTAAATACGGGGGGGGTGGGTCTCTGGGAAGCGCTTCTGCCCTTGGTGACACTGAGGGCTGGGAGAGGATGACGCTGTCGAAAGGTGCTGAAACCTTCTGTGCCCCAGTACAGCCGCTGGAACTGCTGCCCCTTGTTTGTCACGTTGAACCGGAAAATGCAGGGAACGAGGCTGGAGGAGAAGCAGAGATGGAAAAGGTCATGGGAGCTGCTATTTCCCTGCAGTCAAGTGCTCTCAGCAAGCAATCTGAGATGTTAACAGCTTGGAGACCGTCCTCATTTCCCGCTCTTAACGTGGACCAGAAACAATGTCTGATGCCTTTCTGATGTTGTCGTTGCAAAGAGAAATCGGTTTATACTGATAATGTAGTATTTCCACAGCTTCCCTCACCACAAGGGACTTCCTTCATCACCACGGGCTTTTTCCCTCACCATTCTGGGCTTCCCCTAATGGATCCAGACTGAAACCATCACTTTGAGAACACTTCACCTCCGAGAAGGCCACAAGAAGAGAATCAATTGGATGTCAATGGAATCCATGCAGAGGTGATATTTTCTCTACTTAATCTGTCCCTTTGTCATTCTCTTTGTCTCCCCCTTTCTCTCTTTTCCCCATTTCTCTCTGTCTCTCTCTACCTCACATTTACTGTTAAATAAAAATCCGTACTACTGACTTTGGAATATGGTCTCATTTGCCCCTTAATTCGGGCAGAGGCGTCTCTCTAATAATTTAAGGAACCTGAGCATAACAGCATGTTTCTAAAGGAAGCTCTGGCTTCAGGGAAACAGAGTCAGGGCCTGGAGCACTGTAGAAGATTTAGCCTGAAAGCCTACAGCATAACTGCTCCTTGCTGAGCCAAGAGGAGAGGCAGGAGTTAAGAGATCTCTTACTTGAACTGGGGTTCCAAATTCAGCTCTGGAGCAAACGGTTTGTCAATGGCAATTGTGGTGCCAATGCCCACAGCCTGGATGGGGATGACACTGGTAAGGCTGTTCTCAACAAACAGCTTCATGCTGTCCTCAAATCTCCCTGTGTCACCCAGGTTTGCCGTGACAACCACAGGAACCTCAGCCTTGGCAGGGACCACTCCTTCCCTGGGTTCAATACTCCAGCATTTGCCACCCTGTAAGACAAGCCAAACATGCATTTAGGGTGGAAACCATGGACCCTGGTGACTTGTGGGGTGTGAGAAAAGGAACGACTACAGAGAGGAGGATAAAAATTGTAAAGCCTTAATTTCCCTAAATCTAAGCTACTGTGTCTGGGCAAGAGCAGAGCTTATACAACCTGTATTTTACCCTCTTTTAATCCATTTTAACAGACTTTTAAGTTTTGCCCAACCCAAGGGATGCTCCTCAGGAGAAGGTTATTCCCCCTCCAATCTTTTCTTGGAGTGTATGCCAAGGGAAGCTACTTTCTCTCTTCTGGTTTCCCCACAACAGAGCTGGGTTTTCACAAAGGCTCAAGGCTACAGAAAGCCACGGCTGCTCAAATCCCACCACAGCAGCCACACAGCTGGAGGATACTGCTGAGAGCCTGAAGACTAACTCTGCAAAACCGCTTGAGCAAAAGCCCAGCACCAAAGTCCTTGCCCCTGAAGGACCAAAGCCCTGGCTTCCCACTGATCATCAGCTGCAAAGAGGTGCTCCAGAGCCCTCGGCTTTGGAAAAGTCAGCTCTAAATGGTTATAGCAGGGCAAGAAAACAGGAAGCAGAAAGAAAACTGCTCTGTGGGCATGGCCCAGCCTTCCCAAGCACTCTGGTCCTCTGCTTTCTCATGGACTTCCCTCTGTGGATGGGGTAAGAAAGCTGCAAGCTGCCCTGGGGAGGGAGGCAAGGCCTTCCACTGGGACAGCTGTACAGACACAGCTCAGCAGGTCCCGGCCTGGTATGAGCATGCAAAAACTATCATTTACATGCCAGCACCACCCATCTGAGGTGGCTTGCTCTCTGCAGGGGTGGAGAGCAGAATTTCATTGTGGAGTTGAAGAAAGCTGCCCTGGAAATCCCTCACTTGAAGGTTACATTTACTCCTCAGATACCTGGGAAAGCAGCAAGTGGAAAACTCACCCTCCTCCTCCTTGGCCCAGGAGGCTGAGCCTGGACTCTCCCCCACCGCCTGGTGCTTTATCCACAGACACAACCACGTCCACTGTGTCGGGGCTGCTTTCAACCAGCTCCAGCAGCCCAGCCCACTCAGCATGGAGGAGAACAAACTTCCTCAGCATGGAGGAGAACAAACCTCCTCCCAAGCCTGTTTCCAAGCCCCTCACAGACACCTCTGCAGTGGGGAGCACATGCCAGCCTGCCCAGCCCTGCTGGCTGCACCAGTTCTGCTGCACCAGCTCAGTTCCTCCTGCCAGGGGAGCAGCCCCAGCTCCTTCTGCCCTGTGCAGCCTCCACGAATTAAAGAGCCTTTCTCTGCAGCTGCTCTCCAGATACTCTGGAACGCTATGGAGGCCACAGGCTCCAGGGGTGCACAACCTCCGCAGCCCTATCTGTGTGCAACAGCCCGGCTGCTCTGACCCCCAGGAGGGGGAAACTCCTCTCCCCACCCAGAGCTTGAGGACAGACCTCACACCCTGGTCTCTACCATTAACAGCACTTTGGCACAAAGCAAATGTAGATGGTATGAGGAAACCATGGGGAAATCCTTGCCCTCTCAGGAGCAAAGGCCCACAGGCTTCTCTTCATCTCAGAGCTCCAAAAACGTGACTTGCACTGCTAAATACCTTCCACAAAATAAAGGGAGAACTTGTAACCACAATCCAGACTCGCTTCTGCCCCTACAACTCTGTAAACTATTTCACTGAAGGTTGTCCCAGCTAAAACCACCTGCAGAGCCAGGCTCCTCTTGCCTCAGATGGAATCTCTTGTCTCCTCTCTCCCACAGAGCGATATAGAAACCTTACATATAAAATCCAAGTCCTGGGCTGCTGCTGACCAGGGAGTTTCCCTGGAAAACGGCCCCACAGACACTTACGATCTCTGCTCTGAAGGCTGCAGGGATGAGACCCAGATTGCACAGCTGGAGAGTTTGGGAAGTGTCCTGTATCACTTGGATCTTGCCGAAGTTTATCTTATTCACACTTGCATAGACAAGCGGTGTCTTTCCAGTACACATTAAATGCATTTGCTGTTTCAGGGAGCAGGTAAGAGAGATTTAAAAAAAACAAACCCACACAACAGGGAAAGTTAAGAAAGCTTAAACAGCTCAGTCGCACTCAAGTCACTTCTCCAGGGACAGATGTGATGCTCCAGCTAAAATGCTGGCCTTTCAGGCAAACAGTTGACATATTCCCCTCCCAATTAAAAAAGATTAAAGTCTGGGAAATGTTCAAACTGTAAACTGTTGGCCCAAAGGTAAAAGCTTTGCAAGAAATCTGTAGTCAAAAACAGTCTGACAGTCAAACAGCTGGTTACTCTGGTGGGGAGAAACCCTGCTCTTTAAAGGAAGCAGCCTGATAGTTATGAGCAAGCGTTTTGTTAAAAGTCAGGCTTCCCTGCACAGCCTGCACTGCCCGGCCTTCCTGTTGACTGGTTTACATGCACAACGGCAATGGCCTGGCTTGAGATGTTTGGTGCCATCCAGGGGATTTGGCATCATCATTTCCATTTGCTTGAATATAAATTTAATTCCCTGCAACCACTTTTCAAACATCAGCCTTCCTTTCTGACACAGAAAGCTGAAGATTCCCAGAAATCCTCCTTTTGTGTTCAGAGAGATGACATTTTAAAAGAGTTACCAGCATTTTAAATGGAAGATTAATTAAATAAAATAATCCTCAATTTCATCTTAGATGAACTATAAGCTGAGATTACTCCGTAGGAGGACTCCGCTCTTCCTCTTTTTGCAGCATAAACTGCTTATGCCACCAATGCATTCTGTCCTTGTCCACACCAGCCATATATGACAAGTCCCTGCTTTCCCTGGAAGAATCCCTGTGCACTCCACCCCCCCAGGATGAGCTGCACAAAGGCACACATCTCCCCTTGCACTCACCAGTGGGGATCTCTCCTTCCCGAACACGGCAATATCCACCGGGATGGAATGAGCACCCACCGCCTGGACTTCAACTGTAATGGGGATCTCCACCACATTGTGACTCTGGATAATCCCACATGGTTTGGGGCTGGAGTACCACAGAGCAGCGGCCTCTTGGTGTCTCTAGAGGGACAGAATCAAGTGCAACTTCAGAGGCACCTTTAAACTCCTTAACATCTACCACAATGGCAACTCACACACGTTTTTTAAAAATCCCCAGGAAAAAGCTGAAAGGCACAAAAAAAGATGCAAGAATTGTTGGGGCTTAGTATCCTCAGGGGGTCCAACAGCTGCTGCATCCACAGACACCCACTCCTGTGTTGGCAGCCTCCTTGCAACAGCTTTTCACAACCTTCTAAGATCTCTCACAAGAAAATACCCCAAACACTAGAGTATAAACTGCTTCCTGAAGAGGTTAAAATGATTCCTGAAGTTGATATTCAGGTAGGTTCCTATTTAACTGCTTTCTAAAGTTTACATTCAGGTAGAATCCTGTTCTCAGCACATCTTTAAGTCTGAACAGAAACCAGCAAGGTCTTATCCAAACCCCATTTGTCCGTAATAAACCCCTCTGTAGTATTTGAGAGGAGGAGGTGGATGAGATGCCAAACCTGAGGGAGAACTCTGTAGCATCCTGGAAGGGGGCTCGGGTTCACAAGGGTCAGTGTCTTCTGGCAAGGGACCTTTGCAGAGCACGGTCCACAGTCGAGGGTGGAGGTGAGCAAACGCAGCTCAGGAACGACACATCTGGGCAAAGAGATGACCCCGAGGGAATGAGAGATAATGAGAGAATGGAGAGCGTTCACCCCGCAGAGCATGGAATGGAGCATAAGACATTTTTCACTGTCCAACAGACGTTTAATACCTCTACAGAGATAAATCACTTGTCACGTCTTTCCACTCAAACATGTCTTGTCAAGGAGGGGCAAACCCTGAGACTTAGCACTGCAGAGGCTGCCAAGTGCCCGGGCAGAGCACGGGCCTTGTCCCACAGCTGCCTCAGCCCCTCCTTTGCCCAAGGAGGCTTGCAAGGACTCCCCCAACAGGCCCAGTGAGCTGTGAGCTCTGGAGGAGCCTTCCCATTGAGGGTCAGTGCTCGCCAAGGCTCAAGGAAAAACAACTCCCTTCTCTCCCAGGGTGCTGTTGCCCTGCCAGAAAACTCAGCCGTTTGCCTAGTGCTGAGGGCACGAGCCACCACCTGCCCTACGGAGTGGGTGATCATCCTCCCAGTTCCTACAGCTCCCTTGCTGCTGCACCTCACGGGTCCCAGGTCTGTCCCCGCTGGCACTTGCGTTACAAAACTGCAGCCCAGGCACTGACTGGACGGTTCTGCCTGGGAGAGGGAACGGCACCAGGGAACTGCATCCCTCTTGTCATTAAACTGACACCCATGGCAGCACCACAGGAGGGAATTTGGCTGCAGCAACAACAACATCTGCGTTAAGTCTGAGAACGGAGAACGTTAATGCTCAGAAGTGCCAGAGGGAAGCAGGGAAACCTGAGCCCACTTGCCACATCAAGGACTACTTTCCCCTCCCACTCCTGCCGTGAGCCCCTTTTCCATTTCCATGTGCCCTCGTTAACTGAGCCAGACCCCAGCTCTCAGCAGACTGCTCACTGTGTCCCAAACCAATGCTGCAGTGTGGTTGGAACCCAGCACAAGCCCACCTCTTGCAGAAAGAAGGACAGGAGGACCTTGGGGAATTTTTTACACCTCAAGCAGCAAAAGCCAGGCCAATAAATAATGTCATTCCTGTTCCCCAGAGAAAAAGGCCCAGGGCCATGCCTGGCTGTGAGCAGGGGTGCTTCTCACCACGGGCTGCTTTCCAAGCACTGCTCTTCTCCTACCTAGCTGGGCAGAACCAGCTTATTAAGCAAGCTTTCTCCTGGAGCTGCAGCCAGTAAACCCCGAGCAAGGCACTGTGCTGGTGGTGGGTGCACAGGGAAGGACGAGCAGCTGCAAGGAGAGCACTGGTACCTGGCTTTGAGGTGCAGAGCCAACACCTCCTTGCCAAAACCATCCACGTCCACCACCATATCACAGTCGTATCGTCCCACATCACTGGAACACAGCGTGACCTGGTGGAAGAGAAGAGCAGCAAATACTTCCCTTCTCCCAAAAGCTCATTACCCACGTGTGGTCTCCTCCGGTTCTTGTTTCGCAGTAAGGGAAGGGAGGATTTTGCCTTAATTCTTCTGCTGGCCCATGCGTAGAGCACAGTCTCTGGGAGTAACATAAGCCTTCTGGCAATACCGAATTTGTTAAACACACCCTGCAGCTGTCAGGGCAGAGGTGGCTAAATTAAAGCATTATACATAATCATGTATAATGAGACTAAAGTTCTACTCACTACTGTCTTCAAATTAGGGGTCCATTTTTCATTTGACTACAATAACATAAATGCAAAGGAAATGTGTTGACTTGGACAGAATGAGTTCAGCTTTTCAGCACGAAGCTGAGGGCAAGGTGTGCTCCTGCAGATGCCGGGCAGTTCATGGCTGCCGAGTTTTTTCTTTCCTTACTGAGGATCCCTGCAGTGACCACAACTCATTCTGCTCCCCAGGAGAGGAGAAATGAGACCAGGAAGAAAAGCAAACTACTTTATACAGTGGCATCTCTCTAACAGCCACCTTCTGTCCTCATCCTTCCTCTGCCTGTTCTCAGTCAAAGAAGTCACGCTCAAAACCAACACACGAATGGCTTCTGTTGACCATGTGATCTCAGCTTATGGTTTTGGAGACAAAATGGTGCTCCTTCAGGAACATTCCAGGAACCCAGCTCCCACACCACTGCAGATCCCTCCCTTGCACACGCTGAGAGCCGGCAGCACTAAAGCCCTCCCACAGCCCAGTGAGGCTTCAGCCCCACCTACTGACTCCTCCCATACCCTGATCTCCCGGGATCCCTGGGAAGGGATGGTCCCTGTGCTGGGTGTTATGGTGAATTCCACTGGCTTCTCATGACATTGAGTCAGTGTGCTTTTTTCCCAGGATGGGTGAGCGTTGTCTTTCGCTTGATCAAAGCTCCTAAGGCTGGGCTGTCCCTGGCCGTCCTCAGGAATGCGAAGGTGGAAGGTGATGGGCACCACGGAGGTGTTGATCAGGCGGCACGACAAGGTCTGAGGAAAGCCTAGGAAAATGACACAAATGACCATGTAGGCACCAAGCACCTCGTGATTTCTGGTGTGAATATCCTGGTAGGATGAAACGGTACAGCTCACTGAGCAGCTCAGCGAGCAATTAATCATCACTTGGACACTGATCCCAGGTTGCTGCCTTGGAAATGCCCACTCTTAGCCCTGCTGAACACCACAAGTTTCTATCTCTCTTAACTGCTCCAAACCAGCATCATCAATTATTTCCACACACTGAGTGTGCATCCAGACTGACCATTTACTCTGAAAATTCAAGCCATAAAATTCCCTGTTAACACTGCCAACACTCTCACCATTTTCAAGATATAAAAGCACTGAGTTGTCATTGAGGAAAAGCTACAGCAAGAGAAAGGGAGGATGGAACAGGGAACTGGAACATGATGCAAAGCACCCCAATGCAGTTTCTTTAGGCAGGATCCTTAAGGTATCTCCTGGCTTGAGGCAACCAGACTGAGCACGTACAACTCACAGCCCACTTCACTGGAGGCAAACCTGAGGCTTGCTCTGAGATCAGTGATTAGGAACCATGTCTCACCTTTGCAAATGAGGACATCACAGCCACACTGCACACTGGCTGGGATTGCTTCCCACAAGAGCTGACACCACTTTAACTCTGAGACTTGCTTCCCGTAACGGAAAGCCAGGGATACAGCCACACCTGGTGGGGATGTCCTGCAGAGCCAGGACACCAGCCCACAGCCTGCTCTGCAGTGGACATGTGACTTGGCTGGCCAGCTCTGTGGGGAGGAGACATCTCTCAGGGCCTGCTTACCAAGCATCATTTGAACCCAGATGGGGAGGAAAACCAACTGCAGGCACAGCAGGGAGCTTCTCCGTGCCCATCAACAGTGACCACTGCCCAGCTCTAGCAGTGGCTCCAGCAGGGAGGCAGGAGGGGCACAAAAAGGACAAACACAGGTGTCCCAGTCTGGAATGAGACCAAGGTCACCAGATGCAGACAACAGTCAGCAGCACGGTTAAAAGAAGCAAAGATACGACAGCTGCCTTCAGCTGAAGAGGTCTTAGGAATGAAATCAGAGTAAACAGGATGAATCTCCTGTAAGAGAACCATATTTGTGCCCGCTGCCTCTCCTGTTGTTTCATTTATTCAAAAGAAAACTAAGAAAGGGTTCAGGAGTGATACAGGGAGGGGAGGAAGCAGCTCAGGAAAGGTAATGAGTTTTCTTGAAAAGTCCATGAACTGCATGAAAACACAGAGGCATCCTGGGTGCAGAATGATAATGGCCCTTCAGTCAATCCACGACTGATTTCACATTTAAACTGTAGATCATCTCAGTAGAAAGCCTTTTGTGAGCCTGAGATGGAGAACCAGAACCTGCATTCCAATAGTGACACTCTGGATGTTCAGCCAAAAGCTCTGTCAGCAGAGCTGGGCTTCTGCTGGGGAAGAAGAAGCCCACGGCTCTGAGGACACAGGTGCCTGAGGCAGAGCTATTGCTGGGGCATCTGACCTGCTCAGGGATAATGAGGTGCCCTCACACCACTAATTAACATCCCACACTAAAGGTACATGGCTTAAACTTCCTTCTCCTGCAGTCCTATCCCCTGGGCCCTCCTGGAACAAGGACTTTTACGGTCGTTCTGCTGGCAAGGACTGGGAGATTGGAGCAGAAGAGACTACGAGGGACACCAGAAAATACTGACTTTCTATTCCTTTGGTCCTTTCAGATCTCACGATGGCAAAATGCCACCAGCAACCCTGGAGTTAACACCCTGCAGGCTGCCATGGAAGGACACGAGCGACAGATGCTCTTCTGTTCAAGTGCTCCATTTTGGCAAGGCACAGATCCCTCCTGCTGTGTCCAAGCCCAGGGAACACTCACCAAAGGAGACGTCATTGAAGTCGAGGCCACCTGTGCTGAAATGCAGGCTCAGTCCAGTGACGTGGCCCCTGCGAGGACGAGGACAGAGGAGGCAATGGCTTGGTTAAAGGGAACTGCAAAGCCTTCAGCTGTTCTTCCGGCTCAAGTGGGTCAAAGCTGGTGTCAGAGCCCCGTGGGTGTCAAACCAGCCCCGCACCCTGTGCTCAGCACGGCGTCCGTGGGCACAAGAGGCAGCCAACAGCTGCTGATGGGGCTTAGGGCACCATGGCAGGCAGGGTATGCCCCCAAGGTGCTGCTGGCCCCATGGAGGACCCTGTACACACACCCAGAGGTGGCTCTGTGCCCTTGCCTTAGGAGAAAGACTGACTCACTACTTTTCTCTTGCAAAGTAATAACCTTTTTGTTATGTTTTATCCATTTCCCTTATGTTCTTGGTAAAATGGACTGCAGATTCCTTTTGTTTCTTTACTACCTTGATTCAGTGCCTCCCAACAGTGGCCCAGACACAGCCACCTCCAAAGCTCCAGAGCTCCCAGCATCAGCTTTCCTGCCTGCACCACATTACCCCACCAGCCCATGGTTCAGACTAGCTGGGACAAGCCCTCGTGCTGCTGTGGTGCTGAGAAGGGAGCTTTGCCTCTCCTTCATCACCCCTTCTCCCCTTGGCTGGGCGAGGATTATCTTTTGCAATGGCACCAGCCCATGGGATGATGCCCAAGTCCTTGTGACAGTCCCTGCTGCTGCAGAGCTCCCCATCTCCCACCCCAGTCCCTTCCTGCTGTGGAAAGGAGGTCCCAGAGCACTCCCTGCACAGGAGCCAGGAGCACAGCCTGTGCGCACAAGGGATGATGGGAGGCTGCTGCTGCCCTTTTGGCACAGATCATTAACAGAGGATTTTATAACCACTTCTTCTGGCTGCAGAATCACCCAGGCTGGCCCATCTCCAAAGCCCTGGGGGCCTTGCTGGGTGTTCAGAGGGGACATCTGAGATCAGCAACTGCCCAAAGCTGATGCCTTCCCACTGCCTGCCACGGCCAAGGCGGAGGGAGGTCCCTGCAGGAAGGAGTCACTCCAGCTCCTGGGTACCTGCACTGGGCAGAAGGCATCCCCACACTGAGGGGATGCCAACATCAGAGCCAAGACTAAGACCTCAGGCAACACCTTTTTTCTTTGCTCCACCACCAAATGAGGCAGGTGAGAGATGATTACCCAGTGACAGCTACAGACGTGCCCACCAAGCTCCCAGAGCCCTCCTCACCTGATAGTCAAGGTCACAGGCTTAGGGCATTCCGTCACGTTGAAATGGAATTCTACCTCGAACTCCCCCAGGGTGCTGGAACTGAAGGAGATCTGGATAGGCTGGAGCCCATTGGGTGGAATGATGCCCTGCTGGGGCAGAAAGGTGAAGCAGGAGCTGTGGGCTGTGGTTGGAGGGATGAGCTTGAAGGGAGCATCAATAGCTCCTTTGTTAACCAACATTGCCTGCAGTAGCAAGAAAGCAAAATGGAAATACATGAGCAATCTTCCTTTCTTGCAGAAGGCTGAGTTGCTTTCTAATAAACGATTAACCCCTGGAAAGGCAAAAGAGGCCATGTGCTGCTACGTGGCAGAAGCCAAAAAAGTACAACAGGACAAGTTCTGCCTTTGGGTTTTCATGCAAAGCAGCGATAACTTCACATAAGCAGAGTCACTCCTGGGTTATCCCAGGGACACGGAGCGGTTCCCTCCTGAGCCAGCATCACCAAGTTCATTCAGACCCGGCCTGAGGAGCAATGTGGGGCAGCTGCAGCCACGCAGTGAATCCCCACAGAGCTGCTGCTGCTCCAGGGGTGCCCGACCCTGCCAAGGGCAGCACACATTCAGCTTCCATGGCAGCAAACCAGTTTATTGCGTGTAGAAGACATCTCAGAACAGTGCTATCACCAACTTCAGAAGCTCTCCCCAGCTCTGCTAGGGTAGATTGTTTGGGTTATTGTATTTTTCATTTAATCTGATAGTTTCTTAGACCTTGCTCAGCCAAACATCTCAAGAAAGGGTGAATGTGAGGTGCACAGCAGCTCCACCTATTCTAAAGAGTTGCTGTCCTAGTTAGGACAACTGAGACCAGTTCATCAGGGTATGGGTGTAACCCAAAACTGTGTATTCTATAGCCTTCCATGCCATTTCCCAGAAACTGTTGTCAACAGACTATTCGCACCCTCTGCCCATAGAGCCTGACTCCTCAGGCTATAAACTAGGTGTTAAGAGGCCTGTGAGATAGGAGGATGCTCTTGTCCTCACACCCTTTGTGGAACTCCCCGCCCTGAGGGAAGCACTGAACATTCCTGCCTGAACTGGAGGATATATAATCTTGGAGTCTTAGAACATTTTTAACCACTCTGTGGGATCCAGAGAGAGACTGCAGCTCATCGCTCTCAACCGGACTTAGACCACCCTCAACTGGACTGCAATCACCACTTTTGACCAGACTGCAACAGCTCTTCCCCCAGCATCTCACTGCAATCACCACTTTTGACCAGACTGCAACAGCTCTCCCACCAGCAGGTTCTTCCCCTCTCCCTTTACTTTGGACTCAAGCGGGGCCCAAGGAACACCACTCTGTTCATGCCCCAGGGTACTGAGTTATACATTTGGGTTTTGTGGGTTAAGACCAATTGTTTGTTTGTATGATTGTACTTACTGTATTATTTTAGTAAATTGTTATTCTGACTTATAATCTCTCCTTTGAGTTGAGTTCATTTCCCCTGCTGGTTAACTCTTAAACCAGCACAGTTGCTCTCTCACATCTCTACACAGCCATGGGGAAACCCTGCCATTGCCATGGATTTATCCATCTGCTTTGGAATTCTTTCCCCAGTTGTTAGCCTGGCAAAACCTGTCAGAACAGTTGAGGCAGAAGCAGAAGGATGTCCCTCATTTTGTAGCTTTGCAGCTGCTGTTGAAAATATTCCCGTATTCAACCTCTGCCTTGAAACTTGAAAACTACTCTCCTCTCGTGTGTTACCTGTGTTACAAATTGCACTTGGGGATCCCATGCTGAGCTGAGGTTTACCTGCAGTGTAGCTGCTTAGGACAGCACTAACAGTATCATCTACTCATTCACCTTTTCTCATGTAATGAAATTAGTATATTGATAGTGAGAAACAATAAAGTATCAGCATCAAAAATGCGGAAAGAGCACAATCTTTTGGGAAGAAAACAACTCAGTGTGTCCTTTCCTGCCATGGCAAAGCTTTTGGAAGTGTCTGGCATGATGTAGTGCTTCATTTTCCACCTTTTTCAGTTGCTCTCTCTTGCAGTGGACTCGAGCTCAAACGCAGCCAGTTTGTTCCAGCTGCTCTTGAACAGCCCGAGCACAAAGGTGCCTTGAGTCTGAGGCTGAAACCGAAGCCTCTGAACACTTCAGCTTTTTGACCCAGTGTTGCTTTCATGTGTTGAGGGGTTGCTTTGCAGAAAGTATCCCAGCTGATCTCCAAGGGAGGTTGCCAAAAAGCAGGAATTGGGGCTTCATGAACAACAGACAACACCTTTCAGACCCCGGAAAAGGATCCAGATTCTGTGAAATCCCCCAGATTTGACTAGTATGTCAAATATTCCCTGCTCACAACTGCCCAAGTTGCCAGAAATTCCAGAGGTCCACCAGGCTCCCCTCTGCCCCAGGAGCCATCAGGATCCACCCCAGCCCCTGTTGCTCACCTCATAGCTGTAGGCTTTTCCAACCAAAACTTTCCCCATGTCCAGTTCCTCAGAGTTGAGTTGGAGGCAGGGCCCGAGGCCTTCCCCTGTGAGGCGCAGGGGCAGCCTGCTCTCACGGCCTGGGGAGAGATTTCCATTTCAGTAGAGTAATTCTTACTCTCTTATCCTGCTTTTTCCAGGTTGCCTCAGTGCTAGTCCCTGACTCCGAGATGGGTGAGACCAGCTCCTGATGCTCCAGGGGAAGAAATGGACCCTTCTCTTCCCTCAGGAGATATGCCCTGGGGCTGGCTTCCAATTTCTAACCCACCCCTTGGGCTTGTTTCCTGTTTAGCCACCAGTTTGCACCCTGAAAATGCGATGCCGAGTTTAAAACATGATTTCTGTAGTGATAGGACAAGGAGTAATGGAGACAAATTGATAGAGGGGAAATTTAGGTTATATATAAAAAAGAAATTCTTCCCTGTGAGGGTGGTGAGACCCTGGCACAGGTTGCCCAGGGAAGTTGTGGCTGCCCTGTCCCTGGCAGTGTTCAAGGTCAGGTTGGACGGGGCTCTGAGCAACCTGGGCTAGTGGAAGGTGTCCCTGCCCATGGCAGGGGGTTTGGGACTAGATGATCTTTAAGGGCCATTCCAAGCCCTTATTCCATGATTCTGATTTCCTTCCCATGCACTTGGAGGAGCTTTGAAATCCATTCAGTGAAGGGATAAATCTTGCAAACAGTTGGGCATTGCTGCCTGGTTTCCAACTAAACTGGGGGGCAGTGGCCCAACAGCACAGGACTTTGTGCCAAAGTCTTCAGCTTCCGCTGCTTTCTGACACTCAGCATCTTGTTCACAGAATGTCCCTGTGTTTGGTGACTGGCTTGGAACATGACTCTCATCTGGCCATGTCAACAAACAGAGATGCAGTTTCACATGATGCACGACATCATAAGGAATGCCTTGGGAGCAGCTTTTTAAATCCATGCTTTCCTTCCACAGCTCTAACAATGGCAGTTGGTGGGCAGGAAGAGAGTCTGTTAGCATGAGCCCTGAGTAATTACTGTAGATGGCATTTGTTGAGTTATCCCTGCACAACTACTATCTAAATAAAAAGCTGTTTCATGACATTTGTATCCATCAGCTTGGAGCAGGAAGGAAGGCAACAAGAGTGGCTGGGTTAGGGATTGCAGCACCCTCCAGAATGGGAGCCTGGCTGCTGGAGGGCCATGGGCCTCCCACCTCTTTCTCATAGATGGGCAAACCCAGAGTATTCCCTAGATGGAAACCTGACAGCCATCTCCCACTTTAAGGTGAAAAACACTAAGCAGCACCATGCAGAGACAGGGGGGAAGGACAGGGGAACCTGAACCACGCTGTGCCCTGTGAGTGTTCCCTGCCCTGTGTGGGCACAACAAAGCCACCACCTCAGTGAGGGGGTGACTCGGGGTGGGGGGGCAATGATAACTGCTCCCAGAAAAGGACTTGACAGCACTCCTGGAAGCTGAGCACAGCAAGCCCAGTGGCCACCACCTGGACACACCTCAGCCTGAGAGCCAGAAGGTGACAATTCCCACGCAGGTAGAGAAGCAGGTGCTGGCCAGGGGTGGTCCTTCTGCAGACAGCCTGGGCTCAGTAGGGCTCAGCCACCTCTGGTCTGCCGTTGTCTGGGCAGTGGGAGGTGATCCAGGATCAGGGAGCACATTTCTACCTCAGCTCCTACTGCCTGATGATGGATCCATGTCATGAGGAGCCATCCTGGAGGTCAGTGCTCTAGAGGGGCTTAGTGCCCGTGCCCTAAAGCTGTTCTGCTGTGTAGCTCTTTGGCCTTTGAAGAAATACTGGCAAACCCATGGCATGAAAGCTTATCCATGCACTGCTTGGATTGTTCTGGGATCAGTGTCCTGAGCCCTGGCCTTGCATGGGAGACCACCAGGAAGCCGCAGGGACAGTGGACATGAGCCAGCACTGCCCTACTGACCTTGGAGCCTTCCCAGCACTTCCACGGGAGCCCAGTGGGCTGGAAGAGTATTTGCACCTCCCCTTCACTGTGGGTGAGAGAAAGAGGAGAAGGAGCCGTACCTGAGATGGAACAGTAGGCCACTTTTCTATAGACTTGGGCTTCTCGGGGTTTAAAGAACACCTTGATTTCAGCTGAACAATGTGGCCCAACCTCTCCTTCCTAAAACAGAAAGAGACAGCAAACCATTTACCTTCCAGTATCACATTTCTTTTTTTCAATCTGTAAGCCCTGACTTATAGCAAGGAGTGAACAACACTCCAAAACCAGCTCAACACAACCGCAGGATGCTCTTAATGCTCAGCTGATCAGCTCCCACGCTACAATATTCCTACTGCTCTGACACAAGCGCTTGGTCACATCGTGCTGCTGTCAGCTACAGTGGTGTGAAACTGCTGTTGTGCTGACACTGGTGGCTCTTGGTCTTAGATGGGCTATAGGAGTAACCAAGAAGAGAACATGATGCCCTTCCTTGGAAAGAAAAAACTTAGTTTAACTTATTTTAAAAGAAAGCAGAGGCTGGGATTCTTGTAGGGTTTACTCCAAGACGAGGAGGGATTTTGCACTGTGCAGACAGCAGGGATTCCTCATCTCACGTTGTGCCAATACTCATACTCAGGGCTCTGGTTGATGGAAGGACATGGGGGTTTGCTTGCAGAAACAGAAAAAGATTTTCTGTCCCTGTGTGCAATAGAACTCAAAAAGTCCATTTCCAAGTCTTGTGTCCAGGTTCCCAGATGACACTAGAAGGGGGACTCAGACATGCTGTAAGTCCTGGTTACAGGGAGGGATTGGCATTTCCATGACCTTGGGCTGAATTTGGCCTCCTTTTCGCTTCAGGTCAATCTGTGAACTGACAGTGCTCCAACACCCTCTGGGAAGCCCCACACATCACATGTAAGCTGTGCCCCTTCCTACAGTAACCGACCCCTCTGGACACTGCAAGGACACGCACCAAGCTCCCTTGACGTCGAGCCCTTGCAGCAGAGTTCAGCTTTAGGCAGGTTCCTGCTGCCTGCCAGGAGCCCACAGGGTAGCAATGCTTTTTGCAACAAGCTCTCCAGCCTCGCCAGAAACCTCATGTCTTCTCTCGGGGCACATCAAGCCAGCTGAGGTGGGGATCTGCTGAGTGACCTCATTCAGGGAGGGGGAGGAGGAGGAGGTTCTCAGCTATCACTTACCAAGGGCTCAATGGTGAAAACATCATCTGAGAACAGCATGGGGTCTGCTTGAATCTTTGCTGTCTCCTTCTCCAACTCGCGGTCGTACAGGTCAAGCTCCTCATAGCACTTCATCACAAGAGCCTTCGCCAGCTCGAGGGGCGACCGAGACAGATTGTGACACAGCCTGCAGCCACAGGGAGAAACAAATGCAGCAGGTCATTTAATAAGCCAATGATTTGCAGAGCTGAGTGTAAGTGCAGAAGCAGAAAGCACTCAGGGAGGAGCAGCAGCAGCTCCACAGCAAGGGGCTGAGCCCAAGCCACGGGCTCCCAAAGGGCTCAGAGGATCACTGGTTGGTCGCTCGCAGGGCAGGTGCTTTTACCCCACAGTTACAAGCTCGGGAGAGGTTTTAAAAGCCAGCAGCCCTCAAGAGAACCTCCTGGCTCAGAGACACTGCCAAAACTGACGGAGAACCCACCAGTGACCTCAACTGACTCTTCCTACCACAGAGTTGCTTGGGGGAAACAGATAAAGATCAAGGAGCCCCCTCACTGCCTGCAGGGCTTCCCTGGCAAGGGGGGGGAAGAAGCTGGCTCTCAGCTGCAGGTTACCAGCATCACTCTTGGCTTCTTCCCTTTTGGACCTGCAGGGATAAGCTAACCCTGTGTGCCCTTTTCCCTACACTGCCTTCCACCAGAGCATCCCAGAGCACTTTCAAAGCCAATTGATGAATTCAGGCATGGCATCTCTTCAGTGACATTAAAGGTTTTATATGCATGAAAACAGAGGCCCTGAGAGGGAGGCATCTAGCCTTGAACCACCTTCTTTTTTCCTCCTTTTGGCCTTCTCTGCAGACCTTTGGCACAGTTAATCTCTCCATTACTTGGTAGCTGCAGCAGAAATCATTTTAGTGTTTTAAGATCACAACCAAGAGATGAGAAGGAACAGCTGCTTCCCAGCTGGCAGATCACTGTTCCTCCCTCAGACTCCAGTCCCCTGGCCGTGAAGAACCTGCAGGTGGCAACTGGAGGGACAAGTAGAAGGCTCCATATGGAGCAAATTGAGGCAGTGGAGTATAAACAGGACAGCATCCTCACCCAGCCAAATTCAAACACAGTTAGAAAGGAAATACAGTCATGGATATTACCAGCTGCACACAGACAGAGCCTTGGGCAAACACTGTCACTGGCACCAAAAATACTGGCTATGGTTGGCTCCCTGCACCAAAAATATTGGCTATGGCTGGCTCCCTGTGTAGCGCATTCAGAAATGTTTCTCTGTGGCTGACCTGCAGTGCTGGGCATGAGGAGGGCATCCAGCCACTGAGGTGGCAACCCTCTGCTCAACCTCCATCAACAGACAGTAATTTCCCCATGACGTGCCAGAAGGCCCTGATGCTTTGCACCCCCACCTTCCACTGCCTTGTGTTATATAACAAGTGAACACTTGCCTGAGTGCAAGAAGCGGGGTCACAAATAGGACGATTGCTTTAGGGGGCACTCGCCTCGCAGGACCCCCAGAATGGACCCCTGACAACCACTGAACTAAGACCTGAGCACTTGGAATGGCAAAACCACTGCCACTCTCGCCTCCCATGCTAATGAGGGACTGTACAGAAGTAACTCACATAAATGGCCAGGAGACAGAGAAGCTAACTAAAAAAATAAACCTTTACTCTAATAAAAGGGAGAGTTCACTGAACAGACCTCAGGGAGGTCTCTCAACTCAGTGGAGGTTGCAGCTTCTTTTATCCCCTTTACCCGGAGCACAGGTCCCTCCCCATTTCTCCATTGGCTGGGATACTCTGGAGTTACAGGCTTCCCGGCAGGCCTACTGTGTGTCCCCCATTATGTGCTGATTAGGTGGCTCTGGAGGTCACTGACATTGTTCAAGGTGGAGGCCACAGCACTTCAAAATGGAGGACAGGGCCACATGATCCTCCTGTGCTGCTGGTTGGTCCCCCTGTCTCTGGGCAAACTGCACCTCTCCCGAACTGACACCTGAACAACCAGCAACTTTGTGGCTTCTTACTGTGAGCTGTGACTGCCCTGCAAACTTTGCAGGAACACCTACTTGTTCCTAACACCCTAAAGCACAAGCACCCCCTGAGGCCATATGTTAGTTTTACCCTTGGGCAGTGTATGTCACTGCATCTTTCAGACCAACCTGATCTTCTGCGGATACTCCTCTGCCTCAGTAGCAAAAGCCTTCCACTGGAATCGGGCTGTGATGTTACTTCTGTTGTGGATGACCGTGGTTCTGTGACTTGACAGTGTGAGATAAGTCTTGTCAAGTTCCAAAGAGTACTTGTCCAGCCCGATGTTGAAGTCCTTAGCTTTTCCAAGAAGTCTGGTGTGGGTATCTTCACCTGGAACAAAGCAAAGAGGAGTCTTTGCTCAGCTCACTCGCTAATGGAATTACAAGGACCAGAGCAAACCACAGGTAACAGAAGAAAGTGTCCAGCCTTTAGCTGGATAAGTAATTCCACAGATCAGTACACTTACCAAATCCCAACAGCTGCGTGTGTACAGTGTGAGGATGTCCTGGACACCAGTTTAAGGACCTTATTTCTGCGTGTGTTTGTAGAGATTTGTCCCGAGGTGACAGTATTTACAGTGAGATTTGTCAGGTGTGCTCAGGTGACCCACTCAGATCCCAGGCAATTCTGCATCAAATTCATTCAGGTGACTCTAAGGAACCCCACTGAGTCACAGCCCAGAGTTTCCTGAAGGCACCCCACGGGGCTCCTGCCTCTCCCAATCCCTTGTTGCTGACAAGCAAAGATTCCTGGGGGCAGGTGTGAAGAAAGGGAGGTCCAGGGGAGCAAGGGAAGTGAAGCCCACGGCAGAAGGGGACTAAGGTGAGGAAACAAGACACAATGTTCTACAACATTCAATATGACAAAGCACTAGAAAATCAACACCATGAAAGCCATCATCCCCTCCCTGTCCAAACCCATGGCCACATCAGTCTAGAAATATTTGATATCATTCTGATCTCAAACACCAAACTGAAACATTTGAAATGAAAGAAAGAAGAGCAGAGAAAAAGACTAAAAGTACAGAGCAGTTTTTATATGAAGACTGAATGGGGTTCCTGAACCTAGAAATCAAATGGGAGGCAGATGGGAGAGGTTTGGAGAGCATGAATGGTCTGAGAAATGGGAATAAGGGAAAATTTGTCATGATTTGTCATCCAACAGGAACCTGAGGGCCTGAAAATGTTCTTAGACAGAAACTACATATATGTGTAGAGGGCAACATAGAAAAAGGGTCTGTGGCAAGACAACAGGGAAGTAGCTTAGGGGACAGAGGTGAGCAAGAGACACATTGCATTGGAGAGAGTTGGATGGAAAGCTCACATGTCACAGACAGCACTGTCCAGGAATACAACTTCAGCCCTGCATATCCACACTGCAATGGAGAATCAAGGTTCCTTCTTCCTCCACTCAGCAACTCCCAGCAAAACAGGATTCCAAGATCTCATCCCTGTTTGAGGGCTTTATCCACTTTATCAACCCCCTAAACACTAACTAGTTTTCACTTTTCTTTGCAGTAAAGCTGGGACGGGGCGGTGCTGCTGGAGGGGGAATTCAGGTGACTGGGACAGTGAGGAGTGCTGGTAGAGGACTGGGGTGGGGGTGCAGGATGGAGAACACCATGCTGACACCAGGGTCCCCCCAGGGATGGACCAGCACACAGCAACACAGCACATCCAGGACAGGGACAGACTCAGCCTTGGCCCCTTCTTTGGTCACTTCTGAGCACTGAAACACACAGGGGCTTTGAAAGGAACAGTTCTACAAGTAGTTTGCAGAGCAAGTCTAACGTTATTCTGCTTAGAAAGGGCTCTGCTGTTCGGAAGGACCCAGGGTGAGTGCACCCTGCAGTGCCCAGCACTCACCTCTGTCGCAGTGCACTGCCAGGGATGTGGAATGATGCCCGGTCTCCAGCGGGTGATATTCCACTGTCACTTGCATGGCTTCACCAGCATCGAGGGTTCCCGTGGTTGGGCTGACAGTGAAAGGGCTGCAAGACCAAGAGAGAGATCTGCATGAAGGCTCAAGGGTCTGACTGCCAGCAATCCCAGCAGAGATGGTTCGGAAGAGCACAGAGAGGGTTAAGAGCTATTTGCATGCACATGACACTGACTGCCTCAGGAATGTCTCTTTTCATTCAAGAGATGCAAATGGCAGGGCACTCCCTGTCCTGTGAGAGTACAGCCTAGGAATCAAGAGGGAGAATAAAGTCTTCCTTGAAGACCAGAGAATAATGAGTTTAATTTGCAGTGTGGTTGTTTGGGGTTGTTTTTCCCTTTGTAAACATCCTGGTTTAGCCTAAGAAAGGGCACGTTTTATCAGCATTTCAATGAAAGCTGCTCCAAGAAAAGGAGCAATGAAAACTCTGAAGGAGTGCAACTGCAATTTGGAGCAATACAGTGACGTGGACACAATATCCAAAAGGAGGGTCCAGTTTACAGCCTGAAGGATTCAATCCCAGCTAAATGAAGTGCCATTAAGAGCAGCACATCAAGGGAGCTGAACAGGAGGTTTCTGTGTATTCCCCAGCGATGCAGTCTGGGATTCTGGAGTGTCATCCAGGCTGGTAACTGTTTGCTTGGCCCGCCAGAGAAACAAGGGAAATAATTAGGCAAATGTGTTGGTGCAGTTTGGATTTAACAGGAGCAATTCCGCTTTGTCACCAGGTAAGCAGCTCTTGCCTGACAGATACAAAAATCAGTGCTTTAATGCTTCGGGATAGCTCGGGTCAAAGGTGCTTCTGCCCAGTGGCTGCTGGGCTTTGTGCTCTTTGTACAGCCCCACTGAGAAAACAAAAGTTTAGTGCTTTGCTGATGGTTAATTTGTCACCTTAAAAACATTTCCTGGGGATTCTGATGATGATTAGAGAATGTAACACAAAAAAAATAAGAAGAACAACTGGAGCCGTGTGCAAGCTGAACTTTGTTCCTGTCAGTGGTGACAGCTGATGGAATTGCTGCCATTTCTGCTCCTTAAGGAGCTATTGCTGCGATTAGGGGCCTGACCCGGGCCCATTACCACCGATGAGAACATCACTACTGGCTAATGGAGAAGCCTTGGGCCAGCAATGTTTTTGTGCTGGGCCTGAGACTTTGGAGAGAGAGGAGGAAAGACAAGGCCCCACCAGCCCCAGAGCTGTGCTCCTTTCTGTGCTCCTGCATCTGCCCCGATGGGGATGCCAGGACTGCTGCAGGGCTCTGCTGGGGCTTGGGGCTTCATTGCCTGGGCTGGGAAAGGCATGGAATTTTTTTTCCTGTTCTTTTGCCAGAAATTTTACCAGAACAGAGAAGCTACTAGTCAAGGGGCAGCTCTTCAGCGCTACCTTCTCTCCTGTTCCTTCCTACTCCTGCCCCATGTCTATATACTCCTGCCCTCAGATGGCTGGATGGAGAATAACACTCCTGGTGCTGACTTCAGGGGATGCCTGAGAAAGAAGGGATCTTCCTGTTTTCAAATTCTCAGAAGAGGATCCAGCCAAGTTCAGGACTAAGAACCCAAATCAGTCCCTGCATTTTCACATATTCCCCAAATTGCTCCTGTTTCTTATACACCTGTGCATATGCCTATGGGCAGATGGTAAATCAACAGGCATGAGAGGACCTTGAAGAAAGTTCCCAAGGAAGAATGAATGACAGTTTGACAAAAATTTAACACAGAACAAAATAAATTGAAAAAAAAAGCAGAAACACATGAACTTCAGAGTATTTTAAAAGAAATCTGAATGAAATCTGCTTGAAAATTTATACTGGTTTTCAAAGGTTCTTCATGAAACAGAAGAGATGACTGATGCCCTCAGCTGACAAGGGAAATCAGATCAGCTTTGACTAACAGTAACTGCACAGGTTGTTCACAACACAGCTCAGGGTGGGCATCTGATGAGAGGCCCCCTGATGTACCACACGCTTGAGGCCTCCTGGAGAATGGTTTTATTTGGCTGACAGTGGGAGGCAGTAATTTCAGAAGGTGTTGGTGCTCAGGAGGGTGCAGACCAACTACTAACGTGTTCCAGCAGTCCCTAGGAAATCTGGGAAAGACAAAGCTCAGGAGTTGCATCCTGCTTAAAACACTAGAAGCAACAGCAGACACCACACATCCTGCCCGTTTCCAGCTGTGGCTGCAGTGCAGCAGCTCGGATGCTCTGGTTCCTTTGGGATACTCTTTCCCAACTCTGCCATCACCCAAAGGTGTTTTGCACTAAGACAGATGAGCTGCTTTACCTCTCAGTGCTGAGGCTGTAACAGGCTTCCAGGTTCCCAGTGTTGTGAACCAGCAGAGTCTTCTGGGTGCTGTGGTTGACTGGACACGACGAGAAGTCCAGCCAGTCAGGGAAGTCCAAGACTGGGCGGGCACCAATGGCTCGGATTGGCACAGAGACCTTTTCCCTTTCACTGCTGCAGACAAGCTGGTGGAAATGATCCTGCAGGAAAAGTAACTGGCACAGCATTGAGGGCATTGAGTGCCATCCTCATGGCAGAAGAAAAAGTGCTGTTTTCTATGACCCTTTGTGGGCATGAATTGACCTCTCCCACCCCAAAAACGACCACTAATTCATACTAATAAAGGCTGGAGAACAGAGCATGTGAAAAAGCATCATTTTTGCTCCATTCCAATGGGAAAGAATAAAGCTCTCTGGATCATCTTTTTGTTCCTCTGGTATTTTCCATATTTAAATCCCTTCCACTGAACCTAGAGATGGCTAAACCTCAACACCCCTCCCTGTCATTTCCCTGCTGTTCCATCTGCCTCTTCCCCCGTGAACGTTCAAGAACAGGCATGGAGGGAAAGCACAGCCCTCTAGGCCCAGCTGCAGGGCCTGGCAGCACCACGCCGTGACGAGGTGTGACCAGCTCCAGGCTGCCTGCCCCCAGCCCAGAGCCGACCTCACAGCACGGGCTGGGCTATAACCAGCGTGCAACAAACGCCCTGGCTTTAGAGAGAACGTTCCTCCAACTCACCTTGCTCCCCTCAGGGGTGAAAAGGATGTTTATAGTACAAAATGAGCCCGGTGGGATCTGATGGCACACACCATTGGGGCCGACCAACTTGAAATAAGGTGAGCTGTCCATGGTGACCCTCACCAGCCGAGTAACCTGCAGGAAAGACACAAAATGGTGATTTTGCCACTTGTGGAAACCTGAGGAGACCTGGGTGTGCCCTGGTGACAGCCTTCCTTGACCATTTTCCCAAAGGACTTTTAGCTCTGGAGGTACAAGCAGAGGATACACAAGGGTGAACTTGAATCCCTCTGCCTGGGCAAAGCAGCTCGGCCAGAGGCAGTAGGGCAGTGCCTGCTGGGAAGGAAGGTCAGGCACCAGCAGTATGGAGATAGAACACCTGAACCAAGTCATCCTCATTTTCAATAAGCCCAGAGAATCTGCTTGCTTCTGCCTGCACACAGCCATGCAGCCCTGTTCCAGAGGGAGAATGTGCTACCTGAAGGCAAACCAGCACATTGTCCTGAGGGAAGGAAGAAATTCCCTTCTAACAGACTGAGGTGGAGTGGGGAAGTCCAGCTGTAGGGACACAGTCATATGGGCACACCAGCAAGAGGAGACCAGACACTTGGCCTTACTGGAAAACTGAAGAGAAAAGGAGGAACACAGCAAGACAAAGAGACAAGTCCTGTCTCTTTGCCATGAGATGGCAAAGAGAATTGAAATGGGCTGTAAAGAAGCAAGGAAGAAGCACAAGACACTGCCAGGAAAGGCTGGTGCAGAAGATGGGAGCAGTCAGCTTGCCAGAGTGATGGAAAGCCAGATGGCCCTGCAGGCTGTGCCTGCCAACTCTGGGCTCGAAAGGTTATTTTCTGCCTGGAGAAACATGAGCAGCACCGACTGACAGTGTGGTTTCATTATTAAAAGCCAATCTCAGCTCTCCAGGGGCTCTTGCTGCCTGGTGATTGTGGCCAGGCAGCTGCCAGTGCAGGCAAGCCAGACTGCTGGGCATTCCTGCAGCCACCCTGCTGCCAGTTTCTGCCCTCAGGGGAACACAGGCACAGGGACAGCAAACAGGCATTTTCTAGCACACGGGTATCAACCCCTGAGCACCAAATCACATCTCACAATGTCTAAACCAGGTGATTTGGACTCCCTGCTGTCTATTCCCAACAGCTTGCCCTTGGCACAAGAGTCAGTTGAGAAACTGTTTCCCTGACTGAAATTCAAAAGGTCTCAGTTTTCCTCTTTACAGTGCAACACAATTGCTGACATTTTTCAACTTCTTCCTTCTCAGCTTTCTTGGGGAATTGCAAAACAATCACACTTTGTTCAAGTGAAGGTGGAAACCCTCAAGAGCACATTGCTCTGGATGTGCTGTAGTTCTGCAAAGGGAAAGCAGAGCACCATGTTGCCTTTGGAAAACCTGAGCAGAGCTGAATTAAGCTTGGCAGGAGCCTGAACTGGCATCTAAAGGCCTCCTGCTGCTTCTGCTAAATGAGTCCGATTCCAGGGCTGTTTTCAAACACATGTCCTGCAGTGCCAGTGCCACTAATCATAACTAGTCATCATCATGACTAATCATGATTCCAGCATAAAGTGGAGAAGACTCAACCCCTGAGCTTTGACTGCGAGCTGCACAGAGGCAGCTCAACAGGCTGAGAGAGGCGAGATGCCCGCCGGGAACCAAGATTAACCAAGGAGCCACAGTACGTGGTGGTGGACACTCGAGGGGAAGCATGAGAGCAGGTGAGAACTGCACAGCCTTCCCATCAATCCAGGGTTTTCAAGGGAAAGAAGCTCCTTTGGGTCAGATACCACCAAGGTACGGCCAAAATCAGGGAAGAATCCTCAGCACGGGAAAATTCCCACCATCTTGCAAATCCAAGGTGGTGAATCTGGATGTGCTATGGCTGATACTTGCTCTGCTGTAAACCATGGGGGTTACAGCACTCTCCTCTTCTTCTAGCACAGTGTTAAAGCTCCACATCCCAGAACTTACCTTGTCTCTGTTCCTCAGAAGCAGGGGCATTTCACAGACCTTGCCAAGGACATAGTTCTGAAACACCAGCTCAGATGGGCAAGGCTCAAGCAAGGTCTTGTTCCGGTCAGGTGATGAGAACTGGAGAGGCAAGAGAGAGCAGGGAGAGGTTCAGCTGCTGGGAGAAAGGTTCGTGAATGACTCTTCTCTGTTGATCCCTGGTGAAGGACAGGCTCTTGGTAAATAGGTCTGCCCAGCTGCCACTGGGGGAACAGTAGTTCACCCACCTCTGCTCTGAGCTGATCAAAAGCTGCTAGACCACACTGAGCAGGCTCAAGCTGAGCAGCTCTTTTGGCAGGAGTTTCTCCAGCTTTCCTTCTCCAAAATGCCGGGCAGCGCTTACCTCCAGCACAGCCCTGTGCTAATGGGGTCCCAGAGCTCTGGGCACTGACTGAGCACCCAAGCAGTAAGTGAAACTCAAGAATTTACATCAGACTTCATAGGAAACAAATTTTGGATGACCTTTACTCTGAGGCAGGGAGACTGAGGCCCACACAACTCCAGACTCTAGAGCTGAGACACCAGTAAGAAGAGAACAGCACCAGAGTAGGTTAAGGGCAAAAAGAAAGTACCACAGTAGATAGGAATAGGACAAATGAGGTGAATGCTGGATGAGGATAAGGTTCAGTTCTTTTCTCAGCAGTGCTGGGCAACTTGAGTAAGACTGGAGTTGTGTTAAATTGGGAGTAATTACCTCAGGCCCTCAGCCTTCAAAGGCCAGCGCTGCCACTGTGCAGGGAATCCTATGACCCCCAGCATTTGTCAGTGACAACACCAAAGCAAGAGGTGGCTCTTTCAGTGGGACAATGGAAAATGGCAAGCTGGTGCCCTTTTGTCCTGCCCCAGCCTTCCCCCGGTATCGTGCCTTCACCATGGTAGCTAAACTCCAGCAAACCCCACCAGCTTCAGCAGAAATTATTTGTGTTGGCTTAGCACAGATCAGGACTCCAGCATCTCACTAGGAGAAAACGTTTTGTCTTTGCCCCAGCAGAAGGAACTCCACCACCACCAGCAGTTTGCAACAACAACAGGACCTGGACACTGAGGTGTTTCAATAAGCTGGAGGCAAGGCACGCAGCCTCTTCAAATGTCACATCAAACAGCAAGGAAAAGGGCAGGAAAAGGCTACCTTGTAATTGGAGCTCTCACTTGTGCCTAGGTGCAGGGCAATCTTGGGCAGCTTTGCCTCCTGAGGGCTGTCCGGCTTCTTCCTGAACCTGAGACCCACCTTCCTGAAGTCAAAAATGGTCAGCTGAAAGGCAAAAAAACCAGCAAGAGCCTCAGAAATGCCCTTGTTCAGAGAGGCTTTACTTGTTCAAGTGGCTCTGATGAATTATTTGTGATCACAGCCACCAGGACAGTCCTGGAAGTCCTGGAAGTTACCTGCTGAAATATTTAACATCAGAAAATTAATGGTATAGAGCAGAACACACTTGCTCTAACCAGGTGGCTCTGCCTCATTAGCTTCTCCATGGTTTGATGTGACACGTGTGGGGACTTCTGCTCTTGGGGAATTTGTGTCCTCTTTACTTCCACTGGATTGAACCAGTGACCTTTGCAGAGAGTGGTAAACTCCCCTAATTCCATCCTTGCCTGAGGCTCACAACCCCCCGTGTGTGAAGATCTCAGTGCTGGCTGAGTGTGAGGGAAGCAGAAAAGCAGCATTGTGCCAAGACCGAGGTGCAGAGCAATAGGTCCATAGTTCTCTCTTTGTAATTAGCACAGGTTTTGTCTCTGTCTGGCCTCACAGTCCCATTCACAGAAGAATACAGAGAGATGTCCTTGACAGAGCCTCAGCACTGGGTCACCTCCAGTCAAGTGAGCTCCAGGCAGCAAAGGGGACGTTTGTGGGTGGGAAGGAGGACCCTTGCCCCAATTCCACTGCTGTGTGCAGAGCTGGATCTGTGCTCCACGCAGGAGATGAGATGGAACCTGTTCCAGGGGGGACCAGCCACCTCTCTCAAGGCTTCAGGCAGCATTTGAGCCGCCCACTACATGCCCAGGTGCCTGGAGGGCAGGTGTGGTCAGAGCAGCACAGTGAGTTTGCCAACCTGACAGAAGGAATTCCTGCCCACACACAGGGGACAGAAAGAAGCACAAGCTCATGTTCAGCTTTACATTGGTTTAACTTGGCTCCAGTGGCACAGCCAGGCAAGACTCTGGACTGTCCCTGATGCACCATGACAGCCCCTGCCAACAGAAGCACAGCTCTAAGAGCTGGGGAGGGGGTCTGTAGCTCCACAGTGCTGTGGACAGCAGGAGGGGCTGGGAGAAGAGGGACACGGGAGGAGTTTCCAGCCTTAACACAGCTCCTGGCCACAGCAGGTACTTACACGCTCAGGCTTCTCAGCCTCTCTCGGCCTTAGAGGGCGAGCTAGCACCTCTCTCCTCTGGAATCCAGAATCCATTCTGAAGGATGTTGTGGGTGGATAAGTCCTACCAGTGACTGTGTCTCAGCTCACCTGGAAGGAGCAACAATGGAATGCTGAAAATCCAGAATCCCATTCCTGGTAGACCCAAAAGATACAGTGGTCCTGCAAATTTTATATTATTTGAAAGTAGCTAAATGCTTGTTTGGCATAAGTAGTTAGAATTGTTAGGCTGGAAGTTGGACTTTATTTGAACTATATGGCTATGTTGTGTAATTCAAAGATGGATCATAGTGAAACTTGGAGCTAACATTCTGAACATTAATAATAGTTAGAAGAGACAAAGCTGTAGCTTAAATATTACTTAAAAATTAATAGCTAGAGTGGACAGCCCATAGCTGGTGGTATAGGAACTGTAACAACCTCCTCTTCTTTAGGCCAACCAAGCCCAACTCCCTCAGCCACTCCTCACCAGACTTACCTCTAGAGTCTGCATCAGCTGTGTTCCCCCTCCCTGGACCAAGTTCGGGGAGGGAGAATCTTTGCTGCAGTGAAGGTCTCAGAACCAGACACAGTACTTTTGCCTGTTGAGAAATGCAAATGGATTTGATGTGATTATTTCACTGAACTCAAGGGCAACTTTTTATAGGTACCTTTGTACCCATAAATATAGATGTTCCCATCTCTGTACCTGCGTGTGTGTGAATTGATCATGTGTACCTTTGTACACATAAATATAGATGTTCCCATCTCTGTGCCTGCGTGTGTGTGAATTGATCGTGATCTATGTAGTAAGCTACAAGAGTGAACCTTGCCATCAAACTTTGCTAGGCCACTGAGGAGACACCATTAAAGGGACATGAGCCATTATAAATGCAACATATGGGGGAGCAGGACCACATCAGACTTTATCCTAGTGGCACTTCTTCTCCAGCATCCCTATCCTACAAGAAGCTATGGGTAAACAATCACCAGCCTGACAACCACCTCTCTCTGTTTGTGTCGTGCAAGAAAGGGCAAGAAGAGAAGACAACTCCAGAAAGTGGGTCTCAAGCACTGACGAAACTCAAACGTGAACATTTACTTTGGACTAGAAACACGAGAACATGACACTGTCTTATGGACACCAGGACATGCTGCAGCAAGAGATTTAAAGCTGGAAATTACCATCTAATGGGGAATGGAACATTAATCTGGATTTCAGTGATTTATTACTTGGTCTTGAGAATAACTGGATTACTTGTGCCAGTTTTCTAACTGCAGTTTCATTTCACTTCAAATGAAGCCTGTCCATTATGCCCATACTGCTGTTTACAGAGGGCTTCCACTCTCCACGCCCCCATCCAGGCTAGCAGCTTCCCCTGCCCTCTAGTCCTGGATGCTCTTCCATAGCCCCACGGTTCCACTTCCATAAAGCCTACAGGGATCTGCCTGCCAGACTCAGGGGAAGGAGCAGAACTCAGAAATCAGTCCCAGCTCTCTGCAGGGACAGGATAAAGCACAGCTCCAGCCCACCACCTCAGACAGCCCTTTACCCAGCCCACAAGTTAAGGAAGGATCTTAATTCCCCCTCTGCTCCAGGCTCAGGGCACAGACAGCTCTGGCCCCTCAGCTTTGTGTTCAGAGCACAAACGGCCTGAGCCTGGACCGAGGAGCCAGCTGTGCCAGGACACAGCAGCTGAGGCCACCTAGGGAAGCAATGAATTAATATTCCCAGGGCTGGGGAAAAATTCCTGACATGTCTCAGGAAACCCAGGTCTATCACAGCAGGGTGTCAAGCTGAACATCACCAAGGATATCGAAGCTTTACCTTTCAATAAAGGACACGAGTGATCTTCAAAGGCAGTTCTCTGCAAGGGCTCAGTTGGTGAAGAGCCCGGTCAGTCTGTCCCTTTCAACGAACTGCAAGATCGACTTTTCGGAGAGACAATCTCTCCAAGGATTCGCTTGGCGAAGCGCTCAGTGTCGCTGCCGGAAGGAGCTCAGGCCGCTGGGAACAGGGTAGGGTGAGAGGGAATCGGGAACTGCGGGTGTTGCCGCGCCAGCACCAGCGCGACAGTCTCTGTCACCGCGTTCCCGGTTGCCAGGCAACGGATGGAAGCTGGAAGGGAGGCGGGGCCGCGTGGGGCCGCGTGTGGGGGTGGGGGCCGCGTGGGGCCGTGTGGGGCCGTGTGGGGCCGTGTGGGGGCTGTGTGCTCCAGCCCGGCCGGGCACAGCCGGGGCTTTGATCCACAGGGACCCAGTGCCATCTCCCGGCGCTCCGCTCGCTTCGCTCCTGAGCACCTCCACGGACCCAGTGCAGCCCCGGCTGAACGGCGGGATCGGAGCAGCTTCCGGCGGGAGAGGGACGGGCAAAGTGCTGCATGTCCGCCCAAACACTTAGAGAATCACGAACTCACAGGATGTTAAGGGGTTGGAAGGTTAAAGATCATCTTGTGCCACCTCCCTGCCATGGGCAGGGACACCTGCCACTAGACCTGGTTGCTCAGAGTCCCCTCCAACCTGGCTTTTTGAGAGTTGCAGGGCTGGAGCATCCACAACCTCCCTGGGCAACTTGTGCCAGTGTCTCACCACCCTCACAGTAAAGAATTTCTTCCTTATGTCTAAGCTACATGTCCCCTCTTTCAGTTTGTACCCATTACTCCTTGACCTGTCACTACAGTTCCTGACAAAGAGTCCCTGACAAAGAGTCCCTCTCTGGCTTCCCTACAGGCCCCTCCAGGTACTGGAAGGTGCTATTGATAAGGGAAAATGTTAAGTTGCTATTGATGAGGGAAAATGTTAAGTTTCTATGTAACTGGCCCAGTTTAATAAGTGCAGTTTTAAGGTTCCTGTGCTGTTTGCCCAGACACAGCCGTGTTGCCGGTGGGCAGCCAAGGGGGAGCTGCCCAGAGGCAGCCAATGGGAAAGCTGCGTGGTGGCGCGAAGGGGCAGCCAATGGGAGGGTGTGCAATGGAGCAGCATGTATCAAATGGGCAGCCAATAGGACACCGAGCAGACGGGCAGCCAATGAGGAGCTGTCGCCAGGGGAAGATGATGAAGGACTGCGCATGCTCAGAGAGAGGAAGACTTTGAGCCTGCCTCCCCTGCGAGCACCCGAGACGACCAGCAGAGAGCAGTGCGCAGGCACCAGAAGGCCTGTCCCGAGATTTAAATAGAGCACCGCCCACTCTCGTGTAGTTCATGAATATGTAAATATTTAATAAATATGTATGAGTTAGTTCTATAAAATGGGAGCTGTGGCAAAGGTGTGGCGTTTGCGTGTTAGGCGGAGCTGTCCTCAAGGCGTCTGGCGCCGAAATAAACAAATGCCGGCTTAATAGCACCTGTGGCTGTTGGGTTTTACTACCGCTGCTTTTTCTCAGCATCAGTTCTGGCGAGCCAGGTAGGCGTCTTCCTCTGCTTGGCTGCAGGCTCCGTTGGAGGCAGGGACTCCCTAGGGCACCCTCGAGACTTTCTCGAAGGGACTCCTCACTTCAGTCAGCTCACTGAGGGAGCAGACGGGGACCTCTTGCGACAAACTGAAGGTATTTGTTTGGTATAAATCGCGGTTCGTTTTTGGGAATGACTGGTCAGAGGGAAAGTACCCATAAGCCGCGGGAGACGTCCTGTGCTGGGGCACCCATAAGATGCCGGAGTCGTCCAGCAGTGGTTTGGGCAGTGAGCTCCGGCTCTTACATTTGGTTCACCGTTTGGGTGTTTGGTGCACACAGTGTGTGCGGGCTGAAGCTCGCACGTCTCGGTAAATTGTTTTGGCGTTTGTCTGGTGAGCGCAGTGTGTGTGGGTTAAGGCTTGTGCGTCTCGGCAAATTGTTTCGGAGTGTTTTGGTACACCGTTTAGATGTTTGGTGCACGTAGTGTGTGGGCTACGGGTCCCACATTTGGGTGTTTGGTGCATGCAGGCTCGCACATCTTGGTAAATTGTTTCGGAGTCTGGTGAGCGCAGTGTGTGTGGAGAACGGCTCCTATGTCTCGGTAAATTGTCTCGGTGTCAGTTATACGCAGTGTGTGTGGGCTATGGGTCTGGTGCTGGTGGTGTGATTGGCACAGGTTTTCTTATTGTCCTGTGGCACTAGTTTTACTCAGTTTCCTGTACTTGTTAACATCGCAGTGTCTGGTGCAGGTAGTGTGATTGGGAGAAGTTTTTATTATTTTCTGTGGCACTAGTTTTAATCAGCTTCCAGTATTTGCTAACATCTCGGTGTTGGGTGCAGGTGGTGTGATCAGGGAAGTTTTTGTTATTTATTGTTTACGGCAGTAAACTGTATAAAATCTTCCTTGAAAATACAACTGATATAAGATACTGTAGAAAAAAAAAGAAAAAAGAAAAAAAGGAAAAAAGAAAATAAAAAGGAAAAAAAGGAAGAAAAAAGAGAAGAAAAAATAGAAAAAAAGAAAGAAAAAAGAGAAAGAAAAAAAGAAAAAAGGGGGGAAATAAAAAAAAAGGAAGAACAAAAATAAGAGAAAGAAAAAAGAAGGAAAAAAAGAAGAAATAAAAACAAACAAAAAAAATGTGGTCTTATCACTTGTGCCTATCCCAGGTGCAAGAAAGGTGTGCTCTGTATTAAAAACCATACTTTTAAAACAAAAAAGGGGGAATGTGACACCCCAAGTAGACAAAGCTGTATTTACCCTTAGTTTTTTGCATTTGAATCAACAAGTATTGTACAAAAACCCACAAGAAGACACCTAATGACAAGGTTCTCTCGAGTGCTCAGTATGGGGAAGGGCTGTGCTTGTGCTCTGACTGCCACAGGACCCTGCTGGCTTTCAGCCCCTCTGATGGAACCTTATCCTGAGTGGACCCGGCCTGCAATCCAATCCTGCAGATGCAGAGGCTGTCCCTCAAGAATCCCGGGAGCAGGCAGGGAATGCTGAGCAGAGCAAGCCCTGCCCAGATGTCCCATTGGGAAGACACTATTCCAGGGGGAATTCACTGGGTCTACTAACTCTTACTGACTGGTTAATGACTCAGCCATGATATGTCCCTCTCACTCAGATGCCTTCTTGGCCACACCTGACCTTGTGATTCGTGTGACTGACATTAACTTTAACACCTCTGTAAGTAATCCTTGTTATTTTAGTTGTATCACAGATCAAAACGTACCTACCCTCCATTTATCATTAATAATTCCCATGGGCAGAAGAGCCAAACTGTGGCTCCCAGTGAACCTAAGCAGAAGCTGGGAGGATGATGCAGGATACAGTGAATTAAGGAAACTGTTAAATCAAGAAATCCTTAGTGGATGGCTGATTGCTTGGATCATCTCTGCAGCAATCACGGCAGCTGCCGCAGCCACGGCTCCTGCTGCACTGGCCATTCAGTGCAGGCCATGCCTGCAGTGCCAGTGTATGGTCACTATGGCAGCACCATATGGCAGCAGGTGTTTAATGATCTGTCTGGTTTCAATATTCCAAGTCCTCTGGGAGCACATGGGACAAGCCTGAAGACAAGGAGCCCGGGTCCTGGCCCTCTTGGCCGTGAACTCTGCGTGTCCAAACAGAACAGGGGCAGAGGTGGGACCAAGCAGAGTCTGCACCTGCACTGAGTTCATGGGAATGCAAAGGGAGGATGGACCTTGGCTGAGTGCTTGGAGAGAGAGAAGGTTGTTTCTCCAAGTGGAAATGCACTTGAACCAGCCTGCATGACCAGCATGTGCTATTCTCTTGTGGCTGAACACAGCCAGCACATGAGGCGAGGGGAATGTGTGGGATCAGGGCACTGCTTTGGGGCAATGCTGGGAATTCCAGTGGACTAAAAGACAAACACCAGGTGCTGCTCACGAGAGAAGAGGAATAAAAGGGGACATGGAAAAGTGTCGGTGGACAAGTCCCGAAATGGAACTCTGTGTGTGCAGCCTCATTTTGTCCTTCAGCACCCACAGGAGAGGGGGGAAAAAGTGGGGGTTGGGACCCCAAAACTCTTTTGGGGGAAACTGGGCACTGAGGAGAATATGGGAAAGTGGGAGGAACAGGGAGAAGGGTGGAAAAGGCAGAGTGGTCTGGTTGGTCCAATGGTCCCATGAAGGTCTTTGGCACAGAAGGGTTGGCAAAGGGGGGTGGCCCCCTGAGCTCCCAACTTCCTGTGGGGTGCTGGGGGCTGCTGGATCCAATCTCAGCCTTGGATCATGCCAACACTTTCAGTTTAAAGGAATTACAGAGGTGTGACTGAACCACTTTTGTCACCCAGGTTTTAATGATGGCAAATCAGATCTATTGATACAAATGAGTTATTTAGGGTTACAATTGATCAGACAAACGATCTTCATCAGAATTATTTACTGCACAATAGAAACACTAAAACTACCAGGAGTACAGGATAAGATAGGACAGTGCTCTACACTAAAGCAATTGTTGAAGCAATTCTACTAAAGCTGGTAGAAAAGCAATAATTCTTAATTAGAGATGGATGGAACTCCCCAGACCAACGCTTGTGGGGAGATCTCTGCTCTCAACCTCCAGCAGTGACCTTGGGGGGTCCCCAGCCAAGGCAGGAATCTCCACCCACACCCCCTCCAGAAGGGTTCTGTTGGAAGAAGCTGCCCCTGTGAAAGGGGACTGTCCCCTTTGTGGGACACAGAGGATGTGGGGGGGTCATAGGGGTCACAGGAAGGGACACAGGACATGGGTGGTGACGTATGTGGGGGGGGACATGCGTGAAAACATCCCCCCTCGGGGGTCATGGGGGGAGTCCCAGAGGGTCACAGGGGACACGGGGGGTCACAGCGGACACAGGAGGGTCACGGGGACACGGGGGAGTACAGGGGGCACATGAGGTCACAGGGGTCACAGGAAGGGACACAGGACATGGGTGGTGACGTGCGGGGGGGGGGGGAACACACGTGGAAATACCCCCCTTCCTGCTCTCCCCCTCCCCCCTTCCTGCTCCGCCCTTTAAAGGCGCTGCCTTTAAAGGACCGGAGGCAGCTCCAGAGCTGGGATCGGGATCGGGACACCAGGACACCAAGAATAGGACACTTGGAGTGGTATCAGGACACCAGGAACGGGATCAGGGCACCGGGAATAGGACACCAGGACTGGGATCAGGACACTAGGAA